GTGTGTGTGTGTGTGACGGTTCACCGACTAAATCCAGAAGCAGTCAGGAAAGATTTCCGAGAAACCTGCGAGATGTGGAAGAAACTAGCTCACGGTCGTAGAAACAGGAGTTCTTGCTTTTCTCTTTCTCTCTTCTCTTTACTCGTATATTTCTTTTCCACTCTTTTCGTCTACACGTTCCCGGAATATAAAGAGATATTACATTATGAATACCAGAGAGGATTAACACGGGATTCTTTGTAAATGACGAAAGAGAGAGAAAGAAAACTCGAGCTATATAAAATGTAATCCCTTTTTTTGAACCCCACTCCCACCCCTCCCATATGAATTCTGTACAAATATGAGGAAAATGATTTTGAAAGATATTATAAGGGAAAACGACGACGATAGTTTTCAACTTGGTCGATTAAAATCGAGGTACTTTATCGCGAGTCTCCTAGGACTTCCGAGCACAGGAAGTAAAAGAGGAGATTGCTTCGAAATCACTTTACTTTCTCGTAATTCATCTCCGTGGTCCGTTCTGAAGGGTCCACGAAAGGAATCACGATATTATTCTTGTATTTCATAGAACGTATGGGCACATTTTTTTTAGTCTCGCAATTTATGCGAAATAGAGAGAGAGAGAGAGACAAGGTAAAAATCCGATTGAGTTTGTTATTTTTAAAACAAAGATTGAAAATAAATATTGGAAGAAAGCCACGTAAAGACCCTCAAGGATATACATTTTTAGGTATTCGCGTATAAAGATAAACACACGATAGCATTGTAATTTTGAAAGTTTCGTAATGACTAATGCGCACGTCTTACGGCGGCCTTCGCGAGAATAAGTTGGTTCAGTGTTTTCTTTAGTCGGCTAAAAAGATCGCACCGGTTTAACTGGAATTTACGAAATTCTTCTTAAGCTGTACCGAAAAGAGTGTTGGTAGCCGATGCTTACGGAGTAGTGTAAGTACCTTGCCAAGGAAAACACCATCGAGAAGCACGGCGCGATTAATCTACGTCGACCGTTAGCAAAGCACTCTCTTCTTCTTTTTCTCGTCGAAGAAGAAGAAGAAGAAGCCTTGAAATTCGACGAGACCAAAAGGTGAAAAAAAATATCCTCTATCTTACGATAAAGAAACAAGTAAACCAATAAATTGTCCATTTCTATTGATTCCTTTCTTTTTTTTACGAAACGGAAAGAAACGAATTTATAATTCCGTATTTTTCGCGTGAGTTAGCATGATAGATCAAATTACAAAGATACATACGCTATAACGTAAACGTAAACACGTGAGTTTATAATATTATGGTACAATTAAAATATGTAGGTACACGTTCGTATATAAATCTTATACGTGTTATAAAACTTGACGAAGCGAATGAATGAATCGTTATGAATGAAGCGGCTTGTCCAAAGAACCCACCTAGTGAATGGGATACGCCCGGTTGTACGATGCGTACGCACGCACGCACGCACGCACGCAGGCAGGCAGGAACGCAGGCACGCACTCTCACGCAGGAAACGGTCTCTACGAATACTCCGAATGATTTTTATCCTAACTCAATACTAAAGCCAGCTAAGGAGGAAGTCGTAAACCTATTTCATCCTTAACGTCTTAGAAAATGATTGCCGTTCTAACAGATTTGCTTTATAGTCGACAAGATTTAAGTTTCTGTTGAAATTGCTGCTGCTTTTGCTCGAAATGACGAAACGTAGAATTAAAAATAAGAAATTAGTAGAAAAAAACGAAACGAGGATTAAAAACATTCTTTTCATCGAACGCGCGTATGTGATTTCGATCAAAGGATCAATTATATTCCAAAAAACCTATGATATAATTATCTAGTAGAAGAAAGATCTGCTTCAAGCAAGGATCATGGCCTCGTAGAAACTTATGCGCTTTCCCACAACGAGTAGGTACCTCTTTTGCGTTTCAGTCGAAATTATAGGCTGCCTATTAAACGGCTAGAACGATACTAGAATAACCAAGGGAACGAAAGACTGAACAACGAAAAGAAGAAAAGTGCGTGATTCCTTTCTCGCCTTGGCCACTAAATTGTACGATTGTGTTAAAGAGTCTAAATCATCCAGCGTGTGTTAAAACGATAGGCGGTAAAAGCAATGAAAGAGAACGAAGAAAAGAACCAATGAGACTTACGATCTAAAGAAAGAGAGAAAGAGAGAAAAAGAGGGAGAACAAAAATGAAGAAAGCTGGACAAAGAGAAGGAGCTTGCTTTTCCACGAACGCGCCGAACGATAATTATGAAATTCCTGCAAAATGCTTTTGCACGCAATCAACGTAGAACGAACGCACGTGTGTGTACAAGGCTCGGCACGGTTTATTCAAACAACTCGAGTCGAACACGAAGTGAGTCGATCCTCTTCGTCCTTTCTGCATAGTTTCTAGTCATCCATCTTTCTCTTTCTCTCTCACAACTCTCGTCGCAACTGGCAGTCTTTTCGAGCAAAGCTCGAGCCGCGTAAAATGCCTCTCATACTTTGACGGTTATTACGGATTCCTTAGCGAGTAAGGATACACACGCGAGAGTGCTAGTAAACGCATATATTGCAAAATAAAGAGGAACGATGGAAAGAGAATCAGCTCGCGTGCAACGCCTCTCACCTCTTCGATAATTAACAAACCTCTTCTCCTACTACTACTCCTTCGTTAGGTATATGACAACATGCACATCTTGAGTCTCCTATTCGCTCTCGATGAAATCGTAAAAGATGTTACGATTATGGTTGACCGAACCGGCTTGTTACCGCTTTCTCATCAAAGAAGAATCTTCATCTTGAGTATACATTCCTTCTTTACGATTCTTCTCCTTTCGCTGATTTCCTTTTCTCTCTCTCTTTTACATTATGTTGTAATATCAAAGACACTAGAAACTACTTCTAATCGTTTCGATAGAGTCATTCGAAATATAATCTCATGACGCTTATTCTAACTCTTGAGATACCATAAGGAAGTAGACAGACGTATCTTTCTTACTCTCTCTCACTTTCTCTCTTTTACTCACTCAAGAAAGCATTGTCTATTTCTTTCTATTAACTCTCTTACTAGTATCCCCATTTCTCCCTCTCTCTCTGTCTGTATCCTACGGTAACTCTGGATCGTAACATATCTCACGTAGAATTAATTGAGTCTCGCTCTCCGAGTCGCATTATATACGCTGACCGTGCCGCTCGAGATAATAGATGGATAACAGAGACTAGATAATAGATATGGCACCGAGGAGAATGATAATGGCCGATGTCAAGTGCGAGACGAGACAAGCTGAAGTTATCTAATATAAGTGTCGGTGATGTATCGCATACATACCACTATATATTTGCCCTTAGTCATTCGATATTAAGAAAAATTAACTTATTTTATTGGGGAGTCTTTTTATTTACTCTTACTTTAAAAAAGTAACTTTTAAAATTCTAAAATAATATTCATCTGGCAATAGTAATTAAAATATACGTTCATAGTTGCAAGTATAGCTTTGATAATTGCATTAGTGGTTGGGTCAAAATTTTGTAAGATTTTCTTGTGAAAAAACCCTTGACGCTGATAAAATCCCTGTACCAAACTATGTCGCAAACTATGACACAAATCTGTACAATAAAGAAAGAATACAAAACGTATTATACAAATACTATAAATTTAAAGTGCAATATTAAATTTTGACCAAAAATTAATCAAAGAAATTCATTGATATAAATTTGTTGAATTTGTAAAAAATAGTTAATTAAATTTGCATTAGTTCTGCATCGAGTAATCGTTAAAACCAACTATCTATCTATGCCTCTAAGGATTCAAACCGGAAAGGGTTAATGTACCGTCTTCTTCCTCTTCGTCGTCGTCGTCGTCCTCGTCGTCCTCGTCGTTATTGTCATGACGTCATGACACGTCCAACATCGCGTGACAAGGTACCACGCGAAGAGATCCATCTCTTTTCCTACTGCGCTTTTAACCGGTACACACTCGGCCTGTCCTTCCCTTCCTCACCCTCCTCTTCTTCCCCTTTACTCCGTTTGGCCTTCCTTGGTGCTTGGAGGCACCAAGTGTACCGAAGTGGATAATACGATGGTTAGGGCGAACGACGGACGACCAGACGAATGCCTCGGGAATTTGCGAGAAACTAAACGTCGACGACGACGACAACGACGACAACGACGACGACTACACACGCACAACTGATGCACTTTCGGTTCTGGTCCTATCTAAATAGGATCCAATCTAATATATCTAATATTTTTAATATATGTATTCTAATAATAGAAATATAATTATATTAATATATAATATAATAAAATAATTATATATTTATAATTAATTAATAATTAAATATAAAATGTTATTACGAGCATTACCTCAAACTGGATGCATAAATTATACAAGAGTATTATAAACACAAGTAGATACTGAAATCTTTGTAAACGAACTTTTAACTGGTACTAAACAATATTGAACTTAAATTATTATTTAACGTAGATATACGCGATAAATACTCCACATATAGATATTCGAATAACATTCGCTTCTATAGGATAGAATTTTCGTGCCTCTGGCCAAACATGAATATGCGATTTCAAATTTTAGTATCTCATACACGATGTTTCATTAGGATGCAAATTATTCATTCATAAGACTTGTTGTATACAGGCATGGAATGCCGCGTTAATGTCGGAATCGTTTTGATGGATACCGCGGCATTACCATTGAATATGCGTTCAACAAAGCGTTCAAATTATTACCTAACATCGACAAATTTTATCTATGAATTTAACCAAAATTCTTATATCAACGATATAGYTTATTATTTATTTATCTTGTCACGTGCCACAAGGATCAGAACCCTTCAGGATTACACACCTTTATTCGGATTATTTTAATCTGTTTTAGTAACGAAACTTCAATTTTGTTTATTTAAAGTAGCCTAGAAGTTCGTTAAACAAATTAAACACAATAATATTTTCCTCGTACTATGTCAATTATGAGATTTTCAAAATTATCTTTTGTTACAGATCAATGTGGAAAATGTCGCGCCAGCACGAAGAGAGTCAATTTGAACAAATACTGCAAAAGAGATTACGGTGAGTGTTTAAAAAAAAAACAATTTTAAATTAATTTCAAAGGGAATATACAAATGAAATAAAATATTTTGAAAAAACGAAATAAAATGTCGGGGTTTCGGGTCAAAGTTCCTCGAAGGGTTCGAAAAGAGAAACGAAGAGATCTACTACATGCAATCTCCAAACTCGACGATTCGTTTCACTTCTTCTTCTTCTTCCTCCTCTTTCTTCTCCCTTTTCGTTGGTTCATTCGTTCGTTGATGTTATGGTCGTGTGTGCAAGGCGGCTCGTTTAAAAAAGGTGAAAGGCTCGCCGTTTTAGCGGGTAAGACTTTCAATAATAGAAAGGCATGCTTTTGAACCGTGGTCCAGTACACTGGGGCCACGGTTTTAGGTTCTCGTTCTTTTTCTTTCTCTCTTTCTTTCTACTTCTCTTTTCTGTCCATTTACTTGATTCAGCGCAAATAAATCTTCAACAGGTCTGCACTTAGCTGTCTTACGTCTTGGAATAGAAGCCGAAACGACCACACGACTATCCTTCTTCATTTTATGTTTTTTTTTTTCGTTTATTTTTCCACTCTCTTTCTCTTTCGTGTCGTTTTGCGGAAGCAAATCCGATAAAAGAATATTTCAAAAATAGCGTTAACAAGTAACGTCTTACTTATATATTAAAAAAAACACGGCATTTAATTTAAAAAAAAAAAAAAAAAAGCTTCTCTTATGTATTCAAATTTACGCGAGTCACGTGTTTAAACTAATTAAAATAAACCGATTAAAAAAGTAACGTTATCATAAGTAGAAATAAAAATGACGATCCGTTCTCAAAAAGACGTAAGAGTAGGACTTTGATCCTTTTGGATGAAACATCTTTCTCTTTCCTGATCGAGTATAGTAATGAATGGTTCGATCTAAAGTACCGCTTGACGTTGAGTTGGTTTCGACGAACGAGCACCGGCCATGACCCTAGTCCTTGGCGAAAGGCTAATAGTATCCCTGTCCTGCGAACAACAGGATCGATGGATACGATCGTAATAAGAGAAAGAAAGAAAGAAAGACAGCAAAAGCTGTTTTGCAGACCGCAACCCTATGCCCCAGACAGTTTTCCTTCGTCTGTGGGAAACCACGACCTTCTTCCAAATATTCGACATATATATCTACATAATATATATATATATAATTAAATAATAAATATTAATAAATAATATTTATTATATATTATAATATTTATATATAATTTAATTATAAATTAAAAAGAAATTATATAATATAATTTTATATTATATTTTAATATATATATATATACTATAGTGTCGTGCGTGTTATAACGCTTATATAATATAAATATAATAATATATATAATTTTTAATTATATATATTTTTTTATTATTTATTTCTACATTTTTTAAATTTTTTCTGTAACAATTCAACTAATTATTCTGAAAGATCGTTTATTAATACGAAACAATACGTTTTTCACTTTTCCAGCTATACTTGGAAGAATAACAGACAGGCACAAGAAAAGCGACGGTTCACAAAGCGGAAGTGGTGTTTCTGGGGCATCTTGGATACGCTTCACATTGAATGTCGACTATATATATAAAAAGAATCCAAATTCAAGGATTCGACGCGGTGATGTTCCGCTTTACGTGCACTCTGCGGATTTGGCCTGTAGATGCCCCAAGATCAAACCAAGCAAGTGAGTATTTCGTTTATCTTATAACAAATTATAATATACTCTATTCTACATATATAGGGTGTCTAAAAAATTTTCAGAACAAACTATATCCGTATATTTTATGCAAAAGAAGAGAAAAAAAGATGTTCTATAAACATAATTGAATTAAATGTAAATATTAAATGTATAGGACTCATTGAAGATCCTAAAAACGTAATATTGATCCTCGTTCGTTATGTCCACAGATCGTATTTGATACTCGGCCAAGAAAGTGACGGTGGAAGTCAAGGTGGTCTGACTGTAACGCAAAGATCGATTGTCATCGAGTGGCGCGACGAATGGCATCGTCGAATGCGCCGCTTCCAACGTAGAGCGAGATCATGCCATTGAAGGAGTAGCAAGTCATCGGCACATACGAGGACGTAGAGAGAAGGGGGGAGAGAAAGAGAGAATGTATGTGTGTGTATGTATGTATGAGAAAGAAAGAGAGAACGAAGGAAAATTAGGAAGGATTCGCCTAACCACCACCACCACCCATCTTTATAGAAGAACCTGCTACTTTTTTTCTAATCGCGCGTACCACCTCAGTGTATCGAACGTTTCCACCTATTCTGAATTATAAAAAAAGATAAAATAAAGCCGAATATCGGTATTCGCTCGTCAGCTCGATTATTTCCAACGCGAGTATCGATAATCGTGCGTCTTCCATTCTCGTTGCATGCACCGTACAGTATGATACCATCCTATGTCATGTCATGCCATGTTATACTATCTCGCACTCGTATATTACCGGTATTATTCGTGATGCTACCGATTATACTAGACAACAACAACAAAATAAATATAAAAGAAAAGAAAGATAAAGATTGCAAATGGCGAGAAATTTTGAAGTGCGTTCGTAGCTTCAAATTTTGATTAATTCGCAGCGGTGTGCGACAATAGTAGCAGCAACAGTAGTAATGGCAGTCTCGTCTTAAATCGTTCTCAACCCTTCTGTCGAAAATAAGCGTGCAAAATGAATGAGTGAGAGAGAGAAAGAAAGAGGGAGAAAATGAGAGAACATGAACGAGCACGCGACCCGAGAGAATGAATGCTTGTGTAAATGAGTACGAGGAAGAGAGAAAGAGAGAGAGTGAGAGAACAAGTGGACAAGCTAGTGAAACGAGAAGAGTTTTAAGCGCAAGCAAGGCACGGAATATATTTAGCTATCGTATATTATCATCAAAGCCATATCGTGCTGTCGGCTCAAGGAGCGAAGAACCGTCGGCTTTGGACACACGTTGGACACGAGCCACGATTACCAACAACGTCCTCCTCCAACATGCACTTCTCCAAACATCATGCTCCTCCGCTTGCCGGCATTTCTTAGCCAGAGAAAATCGCTTCCTCCTCGTGTTATCTCGCTAATCGCGATTCCAAAGAGACACGATATCTTTTTGCGCATAATATGATATTATATCTACATTTGTTGTACCGATAATAGTTAAGAAACGCAATCGTAACAGTGAGTCCCAGAAGTATTCGTAATTCCCCCTACTGTTTCAATTTAAATAACAATCAATATTTTCTTGTAATATAATATATTTTCAAATTCATATAAGCAGAAGCATATTTTAGGATTCCGTGTATATGAATTTTGAAATTTTGCATTACGAGAGAATATTAATTATTTTAAATTTATATTAAGGAACGCGAGCGTGTGGTTACGAATACTCCTCTCTCTGTGACTCACCGTATATAATATAATACAAAGAAAAAAACAAACTTTTATTTCAATATATAATAAATGTTGAATTAATGTATCAAATGAAAAATCGAGGTGTTACTTAACTCTTGTCGGTAGGTTGTTCAGTTTCTGTAAACGAAGTGAAACGATCATCGACTTATCTCTATCCTTTTATCCTTTTTCGCGATTTTAATGCGAAAGATAAAAAGGACGAGCAACGGCGAATAAAACAAACAAACAAACAAAAACCATAAGAATTTCGCAAGAACTGTGCGACCGACTGTAAATGGCACAAAACTACTTCCATATACGCTAACCCCGAGGCCTTTCCTTAAATGCCCAACCATCACCATCACCACCACCACTACCAACCTCCTTCTTCCTCCTACTTCGTATCCTACATCACCCCTTCTTTTTTAATTTATTTATTCTTCTTCGCTCGCGTACGACGATAACGCGTCGACACAACACGAAACATCCTACGCTCAACACGCACACATACATTCATACATACATACATGCAGTGACATACAGGACAGACAGATGAACACGTGCATACAAGTACACGCATATAACGACACACAAACAACAACAACAACAACAAAGATAATGATTACACGCGTTCGTTGAATGTAGATTTTCTTGTACATTTTCTATATAAATTATTAAGACCTTTTTCTAGCTGATATTATGTATTATTAATGACTTACTTATGTAGATGAAAATAAAAACGGTAGAGCGAAAGAAAAAGAGAGAGAAAAAGAGCGAGAGAGAGAGAGAGAGAGAGGCTAAGCAGCCGAAGAAGCGCGTCGCAATATAAAATTAAATTACACTGCCTTTTATCGATCACTGCCGACGATCGTCCTTTTCACAAGTATCGATGGATCGATGCGTCGAAACTTGAAAGAAAGAGAGAGAGAGAATATCAACCCGTTGTTTTATGATCGATCGTATGCATTCTTCGAACCCTACTTTCATGCGTGAAGTAAAAAAAAAAAAGCATATACAAGGAAGAAATGAAGAAATTTAGGATTTTTGAACGAAAGGACGCGCTTATGTTAAGATCCGATAAAAAGGACGTTTAAAACATCGATCCTCGATAATCGGTAAAATCAAGTTCCTAAGCACGAGGATTAGCATTCGTGCTTACCTTTCTTAATGCAAGGAACAATAATAAGGCCGTGTTTAATTAATCGGGAGAATATAAGCGTATACATGTATTTAGCTTCGCGTATTAAATGACAAAATCTATAATAAGAAACGCTACTTTCGATCGGCGACGTTCATACGTACTTACAATACTTATACTTGCTCTCTAATCGACGATCGAGAAGAAAAATAACAAAAAAAAAATAAAATAACGAAAATGTGTATCGTTTAAATGGGCAAAAATGCGTATTGATGAAGAAGAGTTGAGATTTTCGTAAATCCTCCGCTTCAAATACGAAAATGCGATATGCGACAAGTGCGACTGGGTTGCAAGGCGACGCGAGAAGCAAATGCGACCGTTTTAATTAAAAATGAGACACAGATAGAAAGAGAGAAAGGAAGAAATTTAAAAAAAAAAGAAAGAAAAGTAAACTAAGCAAGATTTTAAGCAAGATCCGATTCGGTCTATCTCCGTCGTCTACGCTAGAATTACATGTATAAAATGTACCAACTTAAGATAATACTATTTAGATTTTAAGATTCAAGAAAAAGTTATATCGTATATTTACCGCAGTTTAGCGGCCGACAGGTAGTAACAAAAGAAAATGAGAGAAAAAATACAAAGAAAAAGAGTAGATCAAAATGGCGCGCGATCTTCCAATCCAATTTTCTTTTTCCATCGTATTTTTTACAATCGTTGTTTTTTTAGTATTTTTTTCTATAGATCTTCTTTTCAATCATTTAATTTGACTTTATCTTTTTTCCTTCGCGAGAAAAAAGAAGAGATTTGGATTTTTTTTTGATAAAATAATGGAATCATTCGTTAAAGCGAGAATAAACGGGACAATTCCATGATTTAATCTATCATTTATTCGACGATTTATTTAACAATTTATTTGACAACGATTGACTGATCGCTCGCGTCCATCACGAATAAGAGGAAACGAATGTTAAAGGATTTCCGATCATGCCAATATATCGTAGAATATACGCGATGTCACATTAAGTGTGCTATTTATACCTCCAAATTATTATATCGATTGCTACTACTGTACCACACAATTATGAAACTTAGACGCGATTAAATTATTAGATGTACCGTTGTGTATTGTGGTGTAATAAATGTGACTAGTTGTATGAGAAATAAAATCCAATGCGTATAAAATAATATCTTTAATTCCTTTTCCGTCTAATCGTTTAAAAAATAATTTGCAAATATTTTTAAACTAAAACAAATAAATATACTATCTTATAATATAAATGTAAAATTTTAATATTATTTTAATATTGCTTTTTGGTATCGGTAACACCACCTAGCGAGACATATAGTACAGTTAATAATCGTTGAACTTACCGACTGTAGGTAATTAAATAATAACAAAACAGAAATTTGCATTACCATAATGACCGACTGATAATAGTACCGACATAAAAACCTAAATTATTCTCCGAATTTAAATTTTTTTAAATTATTGGAATAAAATTTACAAATAGAATTTTTTTCTTTAATGTTCTCCACATTGTAATTTATAACCCCTATTTTCGTTATTAAAAATATGAATTTACTTTTAAAGAAAGAAATACTTCAATGTCAATGCCTCGAAATATCGTAATAAACTAACGTCTCATTAATACTTATCATTGTTTAAATTAATAACTTTTTCCTCTATTTAATTTTATCTCGACGTTTCTCTGATCGAAAATTAAAATAAATAATATTCATTTACACTACTCCTTATCAGTGCTGTCAGATCGTGGGTAAATCTTACCCTCTCCCTGTGCCACTGGGATTGCACACAATGAAAGTTTTCCATGTCCGTGTGTTTGGGATGTCGAGGAAAGCCGAGTGTAACCGAAGTTGGCGGGCACGCCGGAGTGGTACACTATGAAAGCGACTCGTGTCGAAACACGAGTTCCGAACACATGGACACGAGTCGCTTTCATAGTGTGCCACTTCGTGGCCAACCGCCAACTTCGGTTACACTCGGCTTTCCTCGACATCCCAAACACACGGACATGGAAAACTTTCATTGTGTGCAATCCCAGTGGCACAGGGAGAGGGTAAGATTTACCCACGATCTGACAGCACTGCTCCTTATTCCACAAAATATCATGTATAAAAACTAGCTCGTATACTCTTGTAGCGGTACGACCGATGGTCGCGCCATCTAAGTTACTAGAAGGCTAGGGAACCACGCTAGCAAGTGCGGTCACCAGACGAGTACAGTCTGTGCGTAGCCGTTGAGAAGTGTACAACAAAGAAAAGCAAGTCGCATCCTAACAATAAAGAWCATAAAACAAATTCAGTCTAATATTATCTTTACTATAGAGAAACCCTCCACACTCTAAGTAGCGCTCGCGCCTCCTGGTGTCAGTTATGTAACTAAACTATCAAAGACTGATTGACAAGTCTTCGAAAAATAGGAAAACTCGTGGATGCATTAAAAATCTTTAAATATGTTGACATCTTTTCGTGCACTTCGTACAATTTTAGTATGTAATTATATATAAAAATATTCTCTTTATTCTTTTTAAATTATTTAACTTCTTTTTCATATAACCTAACTCCACCTTATGTAACCTTTAAATTATATGAAAATAATTGTTTTGATTTGACGTTTAATATCCAATTTGTCTATAGGCTCCTACAAGGGGCAGAGGAATTCAAACATCTTCTAGTCATGCATCTGATCAACTATTTAATGTATGTTATAACATTTTTACTAAATTCTTAACAACTTAACTTCAAGTATAACGTCAACTCTAAATTTCAGCATAGAGACACCGAATACAATAATCCCAGTACACCCTTTGAATTTAATGAAGCAAACAAAAAACGTATCGAGGCTCTTCTAAAAATTTATCCAGAAGGTCACAAACGTGGTGCAATGATACCTCTATTAGATTTAGCTCAAAGACAACATGGTTGGCTACCACTCTCCGCTATGCATAAAGTTGCTGAGATTCTCAATGTACCTCGAATGCGTGTTTATGAAGTTGCTACTTTCTATACAATGTTTAACAGAAACCCAATGGGAAAATATCATATTCAAATCTGTACGTGTACTCCATGTTGGTTGAGAGATTCAGATTCTATAGTAACTGCTGTAACTGAAGCTGCGCGTTGTAAACTTGGTGGTACCTCTGAAGATAAATTATTTACTGTATCAGAAGTTGAATGTTTAGGAGCATGTGCCAATGCACCAATGTTCCAAGTTAATGATGATTATTATGTAAGCAATTATGAATTTTTTTCCCCATAGGTAAACTGTAATTAATTAAACTCGACTGTATTATTATTTGATTTTACTTATCCTTGATAGGAAGACTTGACTCCTGAAAGTGCTGCAAAAATAATAAATGCATTAAGGAAAGGTGAAAGACCGCCACCTGGTCCACAAAATTCGCCTAGATTTGCTGCAGATCCAGCTGGTGGATTAACGTCTTTAAAGTCTCCACCTCCTGGACCAGGATTTGGGGTCAGGTCAGATCTATAAAATAGATGTTAATACAAATTTAGTATATGATGTATGTAAATTATTTAGTGATGTTCAAAAACTTAATAAATAAAGTTTCTGGTAATAAAAGAGCAACTATTTATTTATTGTACTAATTTTGTATGAAACTAAATATTAATATAGAAAAAATTAACACACACATTTTTACATTAAAAATTATAGAATTGTAATCTACTATAAAAACAAAAACAGAACAAAAATTTTTATTTGAATATTTTTCGATGAGTATATGACAGGAATTTGTGTTCTTAACCAAGTAAACTTAGAATATGTCGCTCTTTTGTTTTCTAAGTAAAATCGTATCGAAGTTCGAAGATTTATAATTATTATATCTACAAAATAATCTTCTCTTATTATTAAACATTGAAATAAAATGAGTGAACCAATTCCAACAAAAGAAAAATCCAAAAAAATTGGAGCAATAAATAAAGAAGCAATACATCGTATTTGTTCTGGACAGGTAAGGTTAAACCATTAGAAAAATAAATATTAATACTGTGTTATTCTTGTATTAAAATACTTTTAACTTAAAGCTATGTTATTTTATAGGTTGTAATCGATCTCTCAATTGCTGTAAAAGAATTAGTTGAAAATAGTTTAGACAGTGGAGCTACAATTGTTGATGTTAAATTGACAGATCATGGAATAACGTGTATAACTGTTTCTGATAATGGAAGTGGAGTAGAAGAGCAAGATTTTGAAGGACTAGGTCAGTGATTATAAATAAAAATATATAACAATTGATAATTTCAAAAAAATATTGTTTACTTTAATTTTATCACGAAGTTAATTTCTTTATGAATAAAATGCATATAGTAGCAAAGAAATATATTAAATAATAATTTTAATATTTTTTTATTACACACAAAACAGGTTTAAAACATCATACATCTAAACTTTGTGAGTTTTCTGACTTAACAGAAGTAAGTACATTTGGATTTCGTGGTGAAGCTCTAAGTTCGTTATGTGCGTTAAGTGACCTGAGTATTGTAACCAGGCATTCGACAAGTGAACATGGATTTAAATTAGAATTTGATAAGAATGGTTTATTAAAAAAGAAAGAAATATGTGCTCGAGAAAAAGGAACATCGGTTTATGTAAAAAATATATTTAAGAATCTACCAGTTAGAGCAAAAGAATTTCATAGAAATATAAAAAAGGAATATGCACGTACCGTTCAAATATTATACAGTTACTGTTTAATTTCTGTTAATGCAAAAATAACATGTACAAACACAATATCAGGAAAATCATCTAATTTAATTGTTAGTACGGCAAATGCAGATAGCGTTATTAAAAATATTATTGCCGTGTTCGGTAACAAATCTATCGATAATTTGGTCCAAATTGAATTACAACCACCCGATGAAGCAACACTGGAAGAATACAATCTACCAAATAATTCCAAGGTAGACTTTGATTGGGAATGTTACGTTAGCAATAATATGCATACCTGTGGTCGTTCAACTCCTGATAGACAATTTTTTTATGTTAACGGACGTCCGTGCGATCTTACTAAAATAAGTAAATTAATTAATCATATATATCATAAATTTAACAATAAACAATATCCCTTTGTATTTTTAAATTTAAAATTAAATCAAGAATGTGCTGATATTAATGTAACGCCAGACAAAAGAACTATTTTGTTCACGCAAGAAAAAATAATTTTAGCATGTATCAAATTTAATCTGACCAAAAAATGGGAATTCCTTCAAGGAAATTTTACCGTCAAAATGTTAACAGAAATGAATTTTGGATTAAAAAGAGTAGCTTCTACCACCAATAATGATCCACCGGCAAAACGAATGCAAGTTTTTCATAGATCCCAAAATACTGACAAAAAATATGAAAAAGAAACACACGTAGAAACGAATAATATTTTGAAAAAAGAAAACGAAGTTGTAGAAGAATTGCTAAACGTTGAAATACCTATTGATATAGAAAAAGTAAAAAAAATATTTTATGAAAAAAAGAATACTTCCAAGAATAATTCTACTAAAAAAAGGATATTAAAATACAAAGCACAGATAAAAGTTAGTCAGAACAGCGAAGCTGAGGAAGAACTGAAAAAAGAACTTGCCAAAAGTTCGTTTACAAAGGTTATTACAATATTAGTTAAGCATTTTTTAATTGTTTCTATTAATTTAATATATACATTATAAGATTTTTTACATTACAGATGAAAGTTATAGGACAATTCAATCTTGGTTTTATTATAGTTTTATTGGAAAACGATCTTTTCATAATAGATCAGCATGCTACGGACGAAAAATTTCGTTTCGAAAAATTAAGTAATGAAACAAAACTGAAAACACAAAAATTAATTATTCCGAAACCTTTAAATTTTTCTTATTTAAATGAAACAATTCTCATAGAACATCAAAAAATATTCGAAAGTAATGGCTTTGAAATTAAAATTAATGCTGAAGGTATTAATTTATCATCCTGGAAAAAGATATTTTATTTAAAAGATCCAATAAAATTAATAATGGTTGTTTTATTTCAGAACAAATCGGTAAACGTGTTGAATTAATTGGAATGCCAGTTAGTTTTGGCTGGCAATTTGGACAAGAAGATATAGAAGAATTAATTTTTTTAATTAAAGAAGGATTAGAAAATAAAGTTTTTTTTGAAATCCCTCGTCCAAGTCGAGTTCGGCAAATGTTAGCATCAAGGGCATGTCGTAGTGCAGTTATGATTGGTACTGCATTAAATAATACAGAAATGATGAAATTGGTAATACAAATGAGTCAAATGAAAAATCCTTGGAATTGTCCACATGGTAGACCTACAATACGACATCTATTTTCAATGGCTTTAATGAATAGATAACATTGAACAATTGATTATCCTAAAAACTACAAAAAAAATAAATAAAATCGAAAAATAAATTTATTACATTCGAATATGTTGCAAGTATTATTATCATAATCTTTACAAGAATGCATTACAAAAATGATAAAATTCCTTTAAAATTCATTAAAAAGGATGGGGATAATTACAAAAATTATCTTCTGAATATTTTCGCAGTATATAATTACAATTATAAATTAATTAAACACTAATTGTACGGAATATATTGTATCCAGAATGTGCTGTTGATATTATAGTACCAGGACACTGTGGATGCCAGTGTAATTCTTTGACATCTGTTTGACCTTGATGTATAAAAAGTAATTGTGGAGGTATCTCTGCTAATTCACTGTCTTCGGGTTTTTCTGAATGATCTACTTCTACTGATAGATCCCATTGAGCAATTTGATCATCTGCACCACCTGAAGCAAACACAGTCGCTTCTTGAGGATGCCATTCTACTGTTGTTACAGGTCCGATATGTTGTTTGAAAGTTGCAACAGGAGTTGATCCATTTGGACTAAATTCTCTCATGTCCCATACACAAAGTAATCCATCGTCTCCTCCAGATACAAGAAATTGATTTTCTCGACGATTCCAAGAAATGACATTAATATCTGCAGTGTGTGTTCCTGAGACTGATAGCATACACGCAGATTGTGGGCTGACTCTTGTATCCCATATTTTTATACTACGAATTAGAAAGAAAATTTTTATTATTTGCAAGAATGTATAATGTTTTAAAGTGACGTGTATTATCAATAGCAAAAACCTTTTATCAACCGAACAAGAAGCTAAAACATTTCTTTCATTAGGAGACCACTGAACATCTTCTACACTATGCGGTGCATGTGAATTATAAGGCCTTTGATCAACTTCCCAAGTTGCACTACTATTATTTCCACTGATGCACCATATATGTATATTACCCCTGCAATCACCGGAAGCTAATGTGCCTTTTTCTGTAGGGCACCAATCAAGAGCATATCCTTCACTAAGATGTCCATTAAAAGTATACAATGGTTTTATAGCACCAGATTGTTCACATTTCTTCCGATATGTAAGAAGTGAAGCAGTATTATCGACTGCTTGTAATTGTTCATTTAAATTCCAAAGGTTTACTCGACCTAATTCACTCCAACTTGCTGCTAACGTTGTATTTTCAATTCGTGTACACCTGAGAATATTAATATAATTACATTTTATACGAAAGTTCCAATAATAATATATAATAATTATACATATATATATTTTTTTTTATTTTTTTTACCTTATTCTATTAACACATCCTTGATGTTTAATTGGAGCAACTGTCATAACAGGAAGCTTGTCATCGTTCTCATCTTCAGATTCACTAGATTCGTCTTCTGAATCTATATCTTTCATGCCATGTAAGTTAGACATTTTCATGACAAGAAGATTATTAACATGTGTCTTATCAGCTTGAGTTCCAGCAATAAGATACATACTAAGAGGATAGGTTTCTCTGTCACTACCTAGCTCATCTAAAATTACGTCAAAACTAAGACATGGTGCACCAGATTGTGCATGATGCAGCATGCGATACGTAGATTTATCAACAACAAGTTCCTCCCCTGGATCTAAAGGTTGCCCAGGTAAATACACTTTTGATTCTACTTTACTGCCATTCTGATCCTTATTTCCATTTTCTACAATTTTGTCATCTTCTGAATCCTCGTTACTATCATCCATGCTTTCATCTTCAGAATCATTTATTGTTTCGAAATCCATTTCTTCAGACATGTCCTTATGAAAATATTGAAAAAGAAGAATAACTAATCTTGACAGTAATTTTATTAATTTATAGATAGATAATCAAAATATAATATGAAATTCTGGAAGCATTATAGGAAAATAAATTAACTCCAAAATAACCCCAAAAAAGTGGTAATAAAATGTATATACATATAATATTAAATGAATATTGAAATTTATATAGCACTTATAATAAAAAAATACAATAACGCTAAGGATTATTAAATGTTTACCTTCAATTAATTTCAAATTTGTATACACTATTCAATCGCACATGTGCGCACGTGTTTTGAGGTAGATTCCAAACTGCGTGTTGCAATATAAGCTAGTTTTAATATCTATATATTATATATAGTAGACACCAACAAACTATATTAATAATATAAAAATTATTAAAAAATTGTTTACATCAACATATAAAATATTTATTATTACGTTTAATCTTATTTATGCAATATCTATTTATACTTTATCTAACAATAAGCTTATACACGACACGTGCATACTGAGGGGTAACACTGAATAATATTTTTCCCCTGTTGCACTTTTAGTTTATATTTTGTCCACAAGAGTCACTGAAGTCGTATATATTTACCGAAAAATGGTGAATAGTTTTAATATTTTATATCATATACCGCATGTACTTTGGTACGTTAAATATATACAGGTAACCCTCCTATAACACGGCAGATAGGTTCCTAGAAAATGCCGTGTTGTGTGAAACCGTGTTGTACGAGACCTTTGTTTTCAGGCCATGTAAATGAAAAGAAATACTTTTTGTAACACTGTATCATTAAGACGGCAAACCTCGCCGCAGTTGTAGAAGTACAGTGTTGTACAAAGGTTTTTTTGAAAGGAAACCGTATTATAGGATGCCGTGTTGTAGGAGGGCAACCTGTATGTATCATGTGTATGTCTTTTTATATATGTACATAAATGATGATAAGAATAAATGAACTTTCTACATAAAGATGATCTACTTACTAAACTTGAAACTCAAAAATCTTTAGAATATTTTTATTAGAAAATTTTTATCAACAATAGGAAATCAAATTAGTGAAACTGCTCCTTTATGGACCAGTTTATTAACACAATCTATATGAATAAACATAATAATAATAATAATAATAATAATAATAATAATGACAGTAAGTATAATATTATTTTATGTATAAAATACAATAATAATAATTGTAATCCCTTTAGGAGGAGAGGTAAAGTAGCAGCAAATAGATCAAATTTCAATGACACTCGCTTTCGCAAATGAGTGGTGTGTGATATTAACTGTGTTTATTAAAATGGATATTGTTGCTAGAAATATTTATCACTTGAATAGTTGGTGAGACGGTGGAATATTAGGATTATGCCGTGGATTAGTATTGAGGAGGCTATGTAAATACGAGCACTGGACGGGCTTGTGCTTTGCCAGTTGCAGCAGAGCCTCTGATATAGAAAACCATTTCCGTTTTCGACCGATAGCACGTGAATCTTCCCATTCTGGCAGCTCTTCGGTTACCCGCATTACCCATACCTGTGTTCTATGTTTGTGTTCCACATTCTAAAATTGAAAAAAATAAATGTATTTCATAGCTGTATGTGCACAGATTAGAAATATCATGAAAAATTTTGAGAAATAAAATTTTTCTGCAATTAGAAAGCTACATCATGTAAAATTTGTTCCAAAAATATCTCAAAAACTAAATATTAATGATAAACCTCAAATATGCCAAGACAACGACCCAATTGTCCTAGAACACCAGCCTCCTCTCTGACTTCCCTAAGTGCAGTAACCGCTGGTTCCTCCTCCGGCTCTACACCTCCACCAGGTACTATCCAACTATCAGGCCTTCTACTGGATGTGACCAGTAGAACCTACAAAATGTCATTTATAAAATGATTTCCTTAATGAAGGAAGATTCAAAAATAAATGTAATCTTCTAATAAAATAAATCTAAATTGTAAAATATGTTATATGTGAATTTAATGAAGAATATAAAGACTGCCATCTGTTGGATTACCTCATCCTCGAGATCATTCTTGACGCAGATGCATGCAGCTCTGCGCCTATAACCCTCCGAATCGTAGATACGGATTGAATTTGGCTTCTCCTTCACCATGTTCAGCCGTAAATATCAATAAATCATTCCATACATTTATAAATATTTGTCAGACATCCAAATCCGCCAGCCTATGCACCCGCATTACCCTAACGATATTTGGAACCAACATGTTATTGACATAGAATTCACTCGCGAGATTTGTCTTGCTTCTCACATAACCAATTTCATAACTGTGTATTCCCTGATGTGGAAGATGTTTTCAAGTAGCCGCAAACAATACTAGTCTTCTTCGATACTACCGTTACTTTCTTCTAAACGCCTTTTATAACCTCAAAACTCTGCAAAGAACTGCTTAATCGAGTATCCCCTCTACTATTACTTTACGGCAGTTATCCAACGTCTCTAAAATTACAAACGTTCCTAAAGTAATCCACGGTGTTCCCTACTTCTCCTTTGACTATTTCAACCAATCCTGTAATACTTCTTAACGACATTTTAATTTTTATGTGATATGTAATGTAAAATAGATAAATAAATTTAACTTGCGAAATATGCAATTAATTTAATGGTTTTATGATACGATATTATTTTTTAAGAATCATTTATTTCATAAATTAGTTTCTAAACTAGTAAAATATATCGCTTATATATCGAAACCTTTTAGGTCGTATATTACAAAATCAAAGTTTTATCAATATTCTTTTTTTTTCATCTCGTGTATTTTACATAAATTAAAAATGATCGAATCAGTAACATTGATTATAAAATTAAAATTACAAATTATTATACTTTATAAATTTAAAACGCTGTTGTTTTCAGGATAGACTACTTACCTGAATTGTAGATGTTCAATCGAAAAACGCATTGTATCGTAAAAATATTTGCTGCGTCATATATCTATTAATATATTATTTGGAATTCACAATTGCACTCAATAATTGATATAATACATATCCACATTTCATTTTATTTTGACTACTTTTCTCTACGTATTTTCAAATTGTCATCGTTTTATTACAGTTATTACTTTATGCAATACATGTCCGATCCCAATATTTATACGTGAGTTTTTGTATGTTACTGGAAAATTGACAGACCTGCATTTTTGCATTACAAAAACTATCACGGTGTTACGTTTATCCTTATCATATATAAAAGGGATTAATTATAAGGTAGTTGATTTACAATTAATATTATCATATGTACACTTTTTAGTAACACGGAGAATGCCAATTCTCTAAGAACATAAAAGAGATTATCACATTAGCATAAATTTCAATAGAGAAGGTTAAATCAGAACCTTTATTGTTACTACAGCATCAACAATATTGCGACAAGTCCTCTGCTTGAAATTCTTATACATCCTGGCTCCCCTTTTATGAAAGTATCAAAAATATCCTTTCTAGCATTCATCTCCCAACAAATAACAGAAACGATACATCGTCGTGATAGTAAAATCAATAAAAATAGAACTAAATTATCTAAGGTAGAGCTCACCTGCAAGGGGCAGGTCCTTTGACTATGATTCGTCCTGTATCTCCCCTTTCCAAAAAAAAAATAATCATCAGTAATGATAAAAACTCTTTTGCTTAATGCTAAGTCGACTTCAAGTTGTAAAACTAAGTAAAATTTATAAATATGGTACAATTGATAATAAGCGATAGAGTAATAATAGATTAATTATAGATACGTATAGTTAATAGCATTGTATCGTTGAAACTTATGGTGATTTGTTTTTAAGTCCTCTCCTTAGTAATAATAGAGTCGAGAATTTAATCAAACGTCCGTTCTGAAGTTTAATTTCAGTGTATCTTGTTCCATTGAACAATCACCGCATGCACCAACCACCATTGCGGACTAGCAGCCACCTTGACTAGCTTTTTTCAAATTTCTGTCGTTATCTCCCTTTCTATTCCCATTGACATAATTGTCCTCGGGGCCAGACTCTTAATCCACTGTAATCTTCAAAGTGCAAATCAATCTCCAGGATGTTCAGGGCAGCTACGATTCACTTGAAACCATTTATCAATGCAACTGAAAATATAATTACAACATAAATGTTACAACTTTCAATTTATCTAATAAATTATATACAATAACAAAAATATATTTGAAATAAAATATTAAATAAATACATACTTTTTATGATATATACAGAGACAGGGCAAGCGGGCAATAACATCACCAGGCTGTAATTCCTCTAAACAAATTACACATTCTCCTTTTTCATCTGCTAATACGTCCTCTGTAATAAAAAATGAAAAAAGATTAGAAGCTATTTGGTCATTTGTTTTCTTATTATATAACAACCATGACTCACCATTATAACTGAGACGTGGCTTGGTCAGGCACATTACCAGGTGACACTCTATATCATCCGGTAGGATAAACTTAGAGCATACAGGACACTTTAGACCTTAAACATAAGTATAGTTACTGAGAATGTGTGCATTGATAAAACAACAAAGATTACATAGTAAAAAAACTATACCATAAAAAACTCTTCTCACACGATGTACAGGCACTACTTCAGCCTCAGACTCATTCAAGCACGAGCTCACTATAATTCCCATAATAATCCCAACCTAACATTAACCAACCCATCCCATATCGAGGTTTCCCATTCCTATCAATCCTTTTCTTATGTCATTTTCAATTAACATTATTTAAAATTTACACTGCGTAAGCCAAACCATCATCGATTGTGTATGGTTACCGGGCCAACCGACCCGGCAACACGTCTAGCGACCTCTTTTAAAAACGCAACTAACGTCGCATATCTATCTAATTTTTTATCAAAAAAAAAAAAGTCATTTCTAAAAAGTTTTTCATATCTTATCGACGGAGCAATAAACATTGAATAGGATACATCTAATATGGAAAATAAAAATACACAAAAACGTGCTGTTAATTGGTTATTTTTATCAACATCTATTATTTATTGAATTGTTCATTAATTATATTTTCAATATCAGTCTACAAATATTTAATATTGTTTATATTCAAATCTTAATTAAATAGTTATCTCATATATGCACTTTGGTGTTACAGAATTATTTAGTTTGACTAAATGGCGTAGTTCTATGACGCTATTTGTCAACAAGATTTTTAGATAATTTACACTTGTCTCTTTAAATACAAGTAGAAAAATTTAAATGTATTTTGGTATTTTAATAATTAATAATATTATGTGTTGATAAATAAAAAAAGAAATCTATATAAAATAAAGTATCCTTATCGCGTAGGAATTCTACCGTGACGAATTGTAAGATTCTCATGAATTATATTAGAACACAGTGGACTGTTAGAAGTAGTAATCTCTGACTGATTTCTCAACGAATCTTTTTTTAGACTTCTAGATAATTCTCTGACTAATAAATAGGCTCTTTTTATACATGTCATATGAAGCTTTATCATTAGCGAATTATGAACTAAATAAAATACAATCTATTATCGTTTCTAAGAGACTATAAATTCTATTTGATTAAAAAAAAGAGGACAGAATTACTATGCGATATAAAATTAAGATCATCGGAAAAATTCCTCATTCGCAAGAAAATACTTCGAGATCTTTATTCAAGTGATTATTGAAAAATTCCTAGAAAACATGTGAAAAGCGTGAGCAAAACATTTAATGGATCACGCATCGATAAAGAAATTGCGTACACTTTAGTGTATTCAATCAATAAAATTAATGATTCTATTATTGTAAGAAGAATTCTAGGGGGCATTTTCCTAATGTTTTTCTCATAAAATATGCATTATGAATTATTAAAAAATTTTGGTAGATTATTTTAGAACACGTGGCAAAGCGCTACACACGCGCCAAAACAAACGCCCCCTGTCCTACCCGCGATCGTAAGCGGCAAAACTAAGTATGTGAAATTTCGCGGATACAACATAACCTCCTTATCAGTTGATCAAAATTACATTAGATTTTTGATTAGGTTAATCATTATAAATAGAAATATCGAGAAACGTCATACTTGGAATAATTTTGACTCTGTTTTAATGATGAACATATGAATGATAATTTTATATCAAAAAATGAAGAGAGTGAATAAAAGCATAAAAAAATAAACTTATTTTGTGTAAAAAATGTTATATGATGCCCTTGAAGATAGCAATTTTAGGAATCAAACGACCAGTAATCGTTATATAACGTTTGCTTGCATAGCCTTGTACAAAGCAAAACAAACTATATAGATTGGTAGTAAATATGTATAAATATAATATTCTACATGATAAAGAATACATTGAACTTAATTGTATGGAAATAATTAGTTACTAGACCATGTTTACAAAGGTAAAAGGGATGTAAATGATATGAATGCTCTATACACTGGGACAACCTACCGTTAAGGGACCACATGTGGGAAGGCAAGCTGTGAGCGGCATATACCCTACCGCTATCTTCGTCTGCATCATCAGATTCTAGTTGTGGCAATCCAAGAGCCTGGGCTACTCCAACACCAACAGTAGAGGCAAGAGCACCTTGTTCTCCTGAAGAAAGATCCGGAACAGAACTAAGAGAACGTGCACGTTGTCTATTATCTCCTGATACTCGAGAAGTCTGCGACTGATTTCCTTGTTGATGTTGATGCTGCAACATGCCAACACCTCCAGGCAAAGAACGAAGCACAGAAAAGCCTTGCATCGTAGTTTCATTGGTCCCAGTAGATGATTGACTGTTGCCTCCTGCAGATTGTGCTACGGTACTTGCCCTGACACCCATTTCAATTACTATTAAAGTCACGTATTCCTTCAGAATCCTTCAATTTTAATCCAAATAGTCTTAGTTCTTTGTTAAAACAGTAACTGTTATTTCGTTTCGTGGTTCTGGCAGTGTTACATGCACTGTTACAGTTTCCACGAACAATTTCCGTCTTCTAATTTTGCACCGCTGGCAACACACACTTAAGATGTTAAATAATTCCACCGGCTAGATTACAATACTATGTGATTTAATTTAGGCCGGAATTTTGAAGGCGTTTGCCACGACAAGCAAGTCATTTCGCCCAAGAACATAGCGGCTCATCACGCAAAACATCCCCCGACATCTTGCGAGAAAACTTCCTAAAAGTCAAAGCGGTCAGCTTATGCAGATATTCCAGTTCTGTCACATGCGTTTCCATCTTGGTTTACGAACGACTTTTGAGTTAGTTCAATATTTTAACTAACACAGATTAGTTTAGAAAAATTCTATTTCAATTTTTGTGGAACATTCATTCGTTAGAATCAGGTAGGATCATAATAATACTTTGAAAGTTGATCTTTCGGATTGGCTATTACGTATTTGTCCAATTGAGAGCACGAAAATTGGATCCAGAGAAAAAGATATAGTGAAAAGAAAATAACTATACTTATTGTATGATATAAAATCCTACTCGATATTCTTTTCTATAATTTATATACAACAAAGCTTTAACTGCTTTGTAATGATTAACTACAAAAATAAACTATAATCACACTTTTCATAAGTATAATATAATATTTATAGTTCGCATAAACGCATATATGTTCATATTGTCAGATGTGTTCTGCGCGTGCGCGCATATAAATATACATATATAACATGCATGTATTGGCGTATATAAGATGTATGAATGTAAGTATGTATGTATGGGTATATACATATATATATTTTTATAAATACAATATATATACAGATGTCAATATAAAAATATCTAAAGAGATAGATAATCTTCATACAGGCATAATGAGTTTCAAAATGTTAAAAATGGCACATATTTGGTAAATTAATTAATAATTTTGACATAGGTTACGGATATCAGCCTTTGGGTCTGGGCTCAAAGAGCTCCAAGCAGTATCAATGCATTTCTGCAATTTTAGTTTGCTTTTGGTCTGATCATTAGCATTGCATATTTTATCAATTTCATAGTGTTCGTATACTAATCCATCTATCCATTGATCTAGATCAGGACCAATTTTATTTTCTGTACCTTTTTCATGAGGATGTTGCTCGTGAACTATCATCGATTTTATGAAATTTGACCACTTTTTGTTTAGTTCATCTGTATTATAAGTATTATAAGGTATACTGTTTATTTCCTTAGCTTTTTCTTTCTCAATTTGTCGATTTTTCCAATAGGACAATGGTGTTACTAAAAAATTTATTTTTGCCACTAACAATGAGTCAACCACCAATAATACATGCCAAGTACCTATTACCAAATGATCACTAAGTTGTGGTCTGACATGTCCCACCTGACAAAAAAAAAAGAAAAACGATTAGAAACATTTAAAAATACACAAACTATAACTTAAAACAATTGAAATATATTATTACCAATGCTACACCGTCTTCAATATGAATATTGTTGACATCTGCCACTTGTCCATATGGATCGATCCAGAATACAGAAAAATTTTGTGGAGTAATAATTGAATCATCAAACTCATATAATAAAACTGGATTTGAATAAGGGCCTATACTACCCATCATATTTCTAAATGTTTGCTCTTTTTGATCATATTCAGTATTAACAAAAAGATTATGAATTTTCCCTAACCACAATCTATTAGTGGAAACATTATGTCGTAAATACACCAGAGCTTCAATCTTTTGTGTATGTTTATTTTGCAATATCGATTTCTCCTGAGATTCTATATCACCTTCAGCAAGAATTAAAATGCCAGTAAAACGATTTTCTCGAAAATATGCCGTCGTTTCTATAACGTGTACATTTTGGAAATTGACATTAAGCTTTTGGAAAGAAAGTCTTGCTAAAGAATATGATATTGTTAATAAAGCATCATCTGTTGGAGGACTTAAATCTGCTTTATGATAAAGACTTTGCCAATAAGCATCATAGCTATTAGCTCTTACAGTCATGTTTGCTTTTTCAGGATATAACCATTCTTCTACTCTATCTATTATTCTTTGATCTATGATGGGCTCAAATTTTCGTGCAAAAAACAAATTGCGATCAGCAGTATTACGTATTCTACTGAAATCTTCAAGTTTAAAATCATTCGGACTACAGCCACACCAATCGACTACAGCTTTATACTGACATTTACAACCCAATTTTCTTTTCCAATTAGTCACGTGAAGATTATTGTCTACGTAACTATCACAAAATCTTGAGTTACGTAATACGGTATGAAAAAAAGATTCGGCAGGTAATAATGTATACTGAAATACTTTTAAAAGATTAGCTACTAAAGAATCCGGATTTGGATTAGAAATATATTCTACAAATTCTCGACTTAAAGCTACCCAATCGCTACCTCCATCAATTTGAATACCTGAAAAATGAATATACCGAGTTCTTATTAAATGCACTTTTTGATATTCAAACTTGAATAAGCGAATAATAAATATACCATTTGGCAATTTTCGATCTCCTACTCTCCACATTCGTGCTTCGCATTCGATAAAAGTTTTATCCAATCCTTGTTTGGTAATAAAGCGTTGTACTTCTCTTCCATGTGATTTAACAAAATTCATACCTTTGTTCCAACTAAGAAATTCTGTTAATCGGGTATTAGTTTTAACTGGATAATCCGATTCTGATAGATTTACTAGAAAATCCCAATGTTGTGGATGCGCAAGTATTTGTTGTGCAGATTTTAGAAAAGTTGTTAGAAGACTTGCACCACCCCAAATAGTTGCGTGTCTCATACCTTCTCCTCTTGCTACTTTGATATTGTTAGCCTTACATGATTTTTCTATTTTCAACATTTCACGATATAAATAATCTTGTCTCTGAAAATATATGATATATTATTCAGAATAAAATAATTCAAATCATTGTGAAATTTATGTGTGAAAAATATTCTTACAGCGTCAACATGAATATAAAATAAATGAGATGGATGATATAAAATACTGATGAGTCGTTTAATTTGCCGACTAGCTCTACCGTTCACAGTTAACAAATAAGCTATACGTGCTGCCTTCTCATGCCCTGTTTTTGAACTTGAATTTCTTGCTTCTTGAGATTTAAATTCTGTAACATATTTATAAATATATCTAATGAAATCTAATTGAATCTTAAATTGTATAACTCTCATACATATTTCAATAGAATATAAGTGACTACTACGATTGTAGTAAATGTAACTCGATGAGTTTAAACGAATTGACCAGCTAAAAAATCATACAATATATATTCTAATTAAATGCCTTCACCTTTACAAACAAAATGAATCCAAAATAAACGATTATAGCTTCTGTGCATTCAATACAGATATATTTATATGTTTCTTACTTTGGATACCAGTCCAGAAAACATTAATAGTTAAATATCCTCCACACAATTGTTTTGGATTACCAGAACATTTCATATTACAACTAGAATCTGGTAAATGTTTTATTTGAGGTGGTTCTTCCATTCCACAAAAACATTCTACGCTATAAAGTCATCCATAAAAAATTAGTATAAATATCTGAATAATGTATAGATATATGCAGCTGGGTTGAAAAGTTTTGAGCCTATTTTTTTCGATTAAACTCACTTTTATTTAAAAAAAAAATCAACTTTGTTATTGTGTTGAAATTAAAAACTTTTCAATCCATCTTTGTATAATTAAAATACAATAATCTTTAATACTAACGAATATTCGGTACCAGCATATGGATATCCTGATTGAAGACACATAAAAGCACAATGCTCTGGAGAATTGTTCCCTTTGAAAATATGGTAATAATCAGAAAGTATTCTCAAGGTTTTATCATCTTGGAAACAGCCTAAATTTACTGGCTTATTTGAAAAACCTGGAGAATGCGAACACAAGGATTGTATCCTTTCTGGGTATAACAAACCCTGCTGACTAAGGCACGTCACATTGACAATGCGTTGTTTGCACATTTGACTTTGTGCACGTGTCACTGCGCTTACAGCTTCTCTGCCAATGACTTCACAAGCGGGTGTAAAATTTAATAATTTGCGATCTAGTATTATCCTGGCAGTACGATTACGATGATATTGAGAAGATTTATTGGCATGTTTGTCAGGTGGAAGTTTCAACTGACGTGAGCCTTTTGGCAAACCTTCACTTTCTTCTGATTGTAGTACATCTTCCTATTAATAAATGATAGAGAAACAACCCTTCTTAAGTATATAAAATTGTCAACAAAACGTGAACAGAATGTATGTTCGGATATTTGTATCGTTATAATATTTTTTTAAATATACAAATATATCTATACTTATTATTAAAAAATTGAAAGGTTAGATTCTACTTACTCCGTCGGATGATGATTTTCCAAGTTTACGACTATCTAAACCAAAAAATGAGTGAGCTAAATAAAATTGTACGCAAAGGACAGTTATACCGAATACAAACAATATTCGATATTTGCGAAAACAACTTGAGGAACGTCCAACCGTATAACTTCTGGCTACCGCCATCTTTTTCATTTTTGTATGGCTTGTTAAAACCTTGGAGTATAAACTTTGTACGAGATGCACTGATATAAAACAATAAATTGATAGTTGAGTATCATTCGTAAATGGAACGTAACTAATTTCTACTTAACTGCCGCCTGACGTTTACACCAAGCAAATAACTTCGTATTAATAAAATAAAACTTTGAAAATATATAATCATAGATAGTCATGCATTATGGACATTGCATCTGATACAGTCAATAAAAATTAGTTTGAGAACCCTAGTAGTTCATGGCACTGTAAATTGTGTCTAGAATTGAGGTTAGACTATAATCGAAATGATACAAAACGTATAATAATAAACAGTGAATATTATTGCGTGTGTTCTCAAGTTTTAAATGGCTAGTAACGTACATAAAAAAATGGCTAATTTACCATTATTAAATAAAACGAGAGGTGATGACATTCTTGAATGTTTCCTTTATCCTAAATTTTGTTATTCATCTAACACTGATAACATAACTGAAGCACAACTTAATGAAGAAATAGCTAAATATTATGAAGAAATTGCATCTTACACAACTGATTACATTTGGCATAGAGATGCCTTAGTATTCCGTCCAAGAACAAAGCAAGCAATGATGTTAGAAAGAATTCTTGACAATTCAATGGTTATAGAAGGTAAACTATACTTCTATTTGTTATTATTACTTCGTGTATTTTCCCTTTGTATATATAACATTAATTTTTTAATTATATTTCTCTTAGATTATCAAACCGTTGCTCACATTTATGCAACTTTACGTTTTGACGAAGATATAGGAGATGAATGGTTTACAGTATTTCTTATATACAAACTGACTAAAGTGTTTGATGGATTAATTGCTAGATTAGTTGACTCAGATGGTGAATTTCTTTTAATTGAAGCTGCAAATGTATTACCTTTATGGGCCAATCCAGAAACTTGTCAAGATCGTGTTTTTATACATAATGGATTACTTCACATTATCAGAGAAAAAGGAAAGTCATTTGTAAATTTGTTGAATAACATTAATCGTATTCCACAAAATTCTAAAGTATCAGATAAAGTACAGAGTATATTAAACAAACGTATAGATACTTATCCAAAGGAAATATGCAAAAGGAAACATAAGGCAAGAGCATTTTTACCAGAAAAAGCTGCATCTATTTTGCGACAAGAACCAGGGCTTATTGGACCAATAATTAGAACAATTTGTCATTCTGATCCACTTGAACGTAAAGTAAATGAACATATTTTATCTTAATTAATAATAATCGTATAAAAAAGATCATTAGGCATATTATTTAATATTAATATTATTTCAGGTTTGTCGCGCGATGAGATATTTTCCACCTGAGCAACGTACCATGGTTAATGTGAAAATGACTAAATGTTTATATGCGTTAGCAACGCATAGTCGGTACACCGGTGATCCAAGAACAGGTTGGAACTTACCTCCTGCAAGTAGTTCAAAATACAATGCATATGTACTTGGTGTTAAAATAGCATGTGGTCTAGAGATGCTAGTAGCGTCTGCTAATGAGGAACGTAGAAAAAGAGCAAAAAATACAACAGGAATAGATAACGAAGAGATGTCAATATCGAATGAACGTTCTTTTAATGCATTTGTATCTCGATTGGAAGCTAATGGATATTTCAAAGACTTGTTGGAAGGCAGTAAAGAACGTGACAAACTTTTAACTATAGCAAAAGATTATTTTTTAAAACACTTTAATTTAGATAACACTTTGCCACATGATGATAAAACAGATGCAGAAAAAGTTCTAGAAGCATGGGAAAATATACAAACGAATGATGTTGAGATGTATGGTAATTACCACAAAGATTATGTATTAGTAGGATAAAAGTAATAAAGAGTGTGCTTTCGTACGCATGCATGTGACCATCAGATCAGATTAGAGTGAATTACTAAGTAAAAGCTCTTTACATTTTATTTTGACATCTTTATTGGGCTAAATTTATTAAATTTTGTATACTTTTATATACTTCTTTAATTTTGTGTTTAACAAAAGATTATGCATGTATAATGTGGTAAGGAGTATGTATCTGGAATAATAATACAAGCCTTGTACCATAATTTTTTATATAGAATTTATAAATATATTTTATTATTTATTTTACAGCCCAAGATGAAGGTGCATTAAGTCCTGCGGACAGTGATAGTTGGTTGAATATAGATCCAGCACAATTAGAAGCGCTTTTAAACCAACAATGGGGAAGTAGTAAAGACAAAAAACATGAACTTGAACCATTGAGTCTTAGAGAAAAAGTACAAGCTTTTATCAATCAGAATAGCGACATTGATGGTGTACAACTAGTAGAGTATGTTTTTTTATTTTAATTTAAATATCATATTTTCCAAAAATACTTAAGTGTTGTTATGACTTGCTTTTATTTAAAGGGATCAATCAGCGGAGGATAATGCAAAACATGACGCAGATGACAATGGAAGAATCGAATTTGATGCAGACGTGTTTGACAGTACCTTACGTGATATTTTAGATTTAGTTGTGCCAGGTGGCGACGGAGAATTTGAAGGAAGCTCAGAAGGTTCATTAGGTGGTGACGATGAAGACAAAGGCGGCGAAATGGATAAATATATGAGATTATTAGATTCGCAATTGGAAGCAGAATTAGTAAAAGAGGAAGAACATATTGATAATAAACGCACTGATATAGTAGAAACAAATTTAATGGAAAGTATTCAAGGAGAATCGGGTGGTTCTGGACCAATTGGAAACATAATTGGTGGTCCTATTCGACGGCTTATGCATTTACAGTTACAATCACCTACAAAAGTACCTCCTGATTTGCAAAGTTAATAACTTTTTATTCAAAGTTATAAAAGAAAGTCATAATAAGTCAAATTCATCTTTGCATGTAAATATTGATGTAGATCTTACTGTTTGATGCACATAAATATTTGATACTATCACAATATTTACTATGCCAAAGCAATATTATGATAAAAAATGACAGGTGTGCTCAGTTAGAAAGTCTCAATCTATCTGTACGATCTCAAATTGACGTCACTGTGGATAAAATTAAATTAATCATCATATTATTTTCGTTTATATTTTTGTATTTTCATATATCATATTACAGTTTATATAATTTTTTTGTATACAACTTCACAATTGTTACAATTATGCAATTATTTCATGCACTTACATCTATACCTATAATTTTTGTGAATTTATATTTATTATACAAATGATTAGAAATTTCAATGTCTATTTTGGCGTCAGTATGAACATTGGTTTTTATACTCTTGTAAACACACCTTATTTTATGCTACAATAACATGTGCTTGTGCTGTGAATGAAAAAGTATAATAAAATAAAAAACCCCCCGCGTTGCCATCGAATATTGAAAAAAGCAGTTTCAAAGTAAATCGTATACATGTTTAATCTTTAACGGGTAACGTTTAAAGTTTATAGGGTGTCTGTCCATTATAAACATTCATAATTAATTCAAATAACATATAAAAATAAACGCATGCATACTTGATCCATATAAAAGATTATAGATAATAATTAATGTTTGTAACTCATAAAATGAGCTGTCCACTAGGTAAATTATAAAAAACTATGAATTGTTACTTCTACAATCTATTTGATGGGCCATGGAAGTGCAAGAAGTTAATTGTTTAATTTGCACATTCCATATATATATCATAATAAATCATATATCATATATAATTACATAAAAATAAACAATAAATAAATTTCTTTAGTACTTAACAAACTTGGCACAAAAATATTTGTATCTTTTTGTCATATATTCAATCATTTGGCTATAAAAAATCCATTTACACTTTTGTAAATTATCAGTATTAATAATGATATCGTTGTTATACAGATATCCATATATTTTAGTTTTTATTAATCATACAGGTCTTTAAATAATATAAATATAGATCTGTAAAAATACTTAATAAAGAATTCCTATCTTACTTTATAAAAAATTTTCATATTTTTGTTAAATACAAATTTATTTATTAGATTATATAATATTTGTTCTCTATAAGATAATTATTGTTTATTTATTTATTCTTTTTTTTTTTTAATAGTTAGCAACCACTGGGTCCTGGAACAGCTGTGATATCTTCTATTGTTTTACTTTTTTTTATCTCTGTATTAACATTTTCTTCAGGTGATACATTCATTCTGTAGAAGTAATAAGCAAACAATGTTAATTTATTTAGTAGTTTTTTCAAAAGATAAAAGATTTTTGTATAACTATAATATCATTTTAAAAAACAAATATTCGAATAATAAAAGCAAACATACAAATCATATTTTACCTTGATTTAATTACTTGTTTATTGGCAATTCTAGGATCTATTAATTTTTCTTTTACAGATGGTGCTAAAGATGATGGTCCAGAGTAATATACAATAGCACACGGTACAAGATTTTCATCTATTAATCGTGCTTCTGACTTTAAAATGTGTTTTGGTGGAGCAGTATCTGTGTTAAATTATAAAATAAAATGATATACCTTCTATTAACATATTTCTAATTTAAAAAAATTGTTACGATTAAATAATTCATCTTAACTTACAAATAGTAAAGTCACAAGTTGGATCTTCTAGAAAATTTTTAATAAAGTCCTTAATTGCTTGCACCGTTTCAAGAGGTTTAAACCAACCTTGGAGAACCAATTGATTTGGAAACTGAACACGAATCACTACCCTGCGATATTTATTCAGTTGTGCCAATGTACGTTTATCTTGCTCAAGTTTACGTTGAGCTTCAATTAAAAGTGGTGCTTCTTCTAACTCTTCTCTCTTTCGTTTAGCATCTCGTAGGAGTATCTTGGCATCTTCGACCGTTAAATTGAAAAAACTATCTGGTAATTCATTTTTAGGAAATGCTTGTACTTCAGCTTGATTAAATACTAACGCATTTCGTTCTCCCAACTATAATGTAAGAATTATAATCATTAAATATTTAAATTATTATTAGTAATATTATGAAAGTAATATCTTACAAACTCTATATTAATCTCTTCCTCCGAGTCTGAATGTAAATTTGCATTGAGTTCATCTTTTACATCATTCTGATTTAACAGTTCTTTACGACATGTACTTGTATTTATAACATTATCCTTGTCTTTATTATCTGACCCTTTATCTTTATCTATCGTTGTAATATTTCCTATATGAATCGAATCTTGTGATCTCATTTTATTTCTTTCTTCTTTCAACAATGTAATAGGATCTACAGCTTTGCCTTCCTTAGACGTAGAAGAAATTTTTTGTTTATCATATTTGATACAAACATTATCATCATTATCATCCAAGTTTTTTGAAGACTTTGGTAATAAAGTTTGAGATACATGTGCCTGTGTTTGTAATTGTTCCAAATCACGATGCATCATTCGTAACATTGCTTTACCACTAGTAAGGCCCAATGATTTTAAAGTTGTTTCTTCTAAAGCTTCACCATGCACCTAGAAACAAAATCTATTCGTATATGATTTTAACATCGGTGTTAAATCTTGTAAAATGGATTACCTTACGATGCATATATATTATTACTGCAGTTTTGCGGTCTTCATTAGGACAAATGGTTGTTAAAACGTGTGCCAAAGTAACATCTGGTGAAAAATCATCCATTAATCGTTCACCATTCTCAAATAGAATGCCCACTGTAACTTTTGATGCATTACGTGGTTTTTTACAAGGAACCATTTCCACCCGTGCATTATTAGATAAACCAGTGAAACGCAATATGGAATTTACATCTATTATCTTATTGAAGTGTCTGGAAAACAAATTGTGCATTAAAAATAATAAAAAAATGAACTAATATTATAGTAACTTACTTAATGTCATAATCGTTTGCATTATATCCATGTTTTTTACAAACTTCTTCCAGGACCTATAAATTAATATAAATTTTTTGGTTAAATTTGCTCGTTTAAACCTAATATAAATTCTAATTAACTGGAGAGGAAATTTAATAAAATTTTTCAACAAAATGAAATATTAATCTATTTACCTGAAGAATAGTTGTATTTGGAGTAACTTCAACATTTTGTCGACGACCGTTGGGCGTAAGAACAATGATACTTTTATTTACCGCCATAGTAGATTAAAATCTCAAGTGGTCATACAACGAACCACAGAGCAAACAGCTGACTCAGAACTTTTTCTATTTTTTAATATATGACACTCTCTCTTTCTTTTTCTCTCTCACTCTCTCTCTCTCCCTCTCTCTCTGTATAGATATGTATATACGTGTATATATATATATATATATATATATATATGTATATATATGTGTGCTGTCTATTTGTCACTCGTATAGTTGATAGAATTAGTGTTCCCGTTCAGCATTCGTACTAACATATTTAGCCTTGTGAATATGTTTTGTTCATTCCTAACAGCGTGACATTGTTTTCCAAAAAAAAAAGATAAGAAGTTGAAAAAAAATGTGTAAATTCGGCAATGGTACTTTTAGTTAATTGGCAGGAAAAGTATCAAATGCGATGAAGTGGCGACCCTGCTCCTTCGATTCTGCTCGCATTGCGTCACGACAGTTTACGTTCTCTTCTGGCATAAACAAACCTATGAAAACAAAATGTCTGCGAATCGCGATATGTTTATTAACAGATGTTTGTATTCGACCTGACGTATTTTATATCGCCGTACAAATGACTCGTAAGATGCCAGAGAATTTGTGGCGTAATGGCCGTGTCCTTTAACCGGTACCTTATCTTGCCGGAAATCGAGAAAAGTGAACTCGAGGTTGACTCGGGGAATAAGCGGGCTTATACGAATGAAAATTCAACGAGAAATTCGGTTGGTAGCCCGACAGCCCCCGTAACTTCTGTAACGGTCCCACTTTGCGTTCTGGGTGAGGTTCAATTACGTTTTCTTTGTCCTGACGATTTAGAAGAAGTTCGTTCACTTTGTCAAGATTGGTTTCCCATAGGTGAGATGAATTTGATCTCAATTTACACTTTGATATGTGTATTGGGATATGTTAGAAAAGAATGCAACAACTCTACTTTTACAGATTATCCAAATTCATGGTACGAAGACATAACAAGCTCTTCAAGATTTTATGCGTTAGCTGCTGTATATGGTGGAGTAATTATAGGACTTATTGTCGCTGAGATTAAACCATATACCAAGTTAAATGAAGAAGATCGTGGGATTCTGTGTTCAAGTCAAGGAAAGGACTCTTTAGTTGGATATATACTTAGTTTAGGAGTACGTCGTACATATAGGAGAAACGGTATTGCATCTTTATTATTGGAGCAATTATTGGCACATGTTACCGCTCCAGAACGTTCTTCAGTGAAAGCAGTCTTCTTACATGTTCTCTCTAGCAACGTGCCTGCTATTTTGTTTTATCAAAGGTGCCATTTTCGATTACATAGTTTTTTACCATATTATTATTTCATTCATGGAAAATGTAAAGATGGATTTACTTATGTTCTTTACGTTAATGGTGGACATGCACCATGGGGTATATGGGATTGGATTAGACATTTAGCCAGGGCAATGGCTAGTCTTGGTCCATGTAGGGTACCAAGATGGATTTGGCAAAGGCTTTTATGGGCTACCACTATACTTTCTTATCACAGATGATACATCTTATGAGGCTGTGATATATAACGGTATTCAATTACAATTAAATTCATATAAAAAAATATATATAATAATAATAATATTTATATTTATATATTATAATATACTTATATATATATTATATATGTATATATATATATATATAAGTAATATGTAATATGTAATATGTAAAATATATATATATATACATAAGTATATATATGTATTTAACATAAACTCTAAATGCAAACGAATTTAATTACAAAGAAAAAATTAATAGTACATCTTAATATTATATGAGATGTTTGCATATGATTTTGTTGATTAGATTTATATAAATATGATGGTCTATATATAATAAATATTTAGTCGTTTCTAACTTAGCTTTTGACTCAGCAAAGAAATAGTTTTATTAACATGAAATACAACAAAATTGAGATCATTCAAAATTATTCGCTTTTCAAGACCATTAGCTTATAATATAAACTGCCAGAAGAGAGATTTGTACAAAAAATATAATTTATTCATTAGACTTTAATAGATATTTTATAGTGATACTTTGTTCTGAATAAGCTGAGAAAACAAAAATCTACAAAAGTCTGATCTGTATAAATGCATATATAGTTAATGCTCTAAATGCTGTAAAATTACTTTTAAATTGACGTCACAAAACGATTTATAATATATTTATAATAATCTACTGTTCATTTATGTTTAATTGTACGGTCATACTTGAAAATTATGAGACAAATAATGTTTATATATTTTAAATTTTGGTATTTTTTTAATTGTTTTAATCATTAATGAATTTTGGAAAACGTAATAATTAATTTAAAAAAAATCAGTATACAATATTAATAAATAATGAAAAAACATGTTTTATTTTTGTGTTGTGTATAGTTCTTTTATTGTGAATATTCAAATCGATATTTCTGTTATGTCTTTATTAACGTCCTTATTATTTATTTGTACGTATAAGTTTCAATAAGAATATATTATTAGTTTAAGAGCTTTAACTTTAATATGAAATGTTAATAAAATTTTTGAACGTGAATGTGTGTATTTATACATAATGTAAATAAATATAAAATGTACCAAAATAGTTCACTTAGATTGTATATAACATTGTAATGATATTGTTTGTAATAAATTGACATGTTATAACGTGGTTTCATTTTTATGATAAATACTATAAATTTCGTTTTTTTTTTTTCTTATGAAGCTATGGGAATATTAATTATATTGTACTTTCTTTTTTATTAATAATAATATTTAGTCGTTGCTAACTTAGCTTTTGACTCAGCAAAAAAATAGTACATAACATAATAATATAAATGTATATGTATATATATTACATATACATATACAAATACATATACATGCAATATTTTAAGTTGCTTTTAGGTTAAGATACAGATGCGTACTTCTAACATAACGTACCCATGGTACACGTACCATACAAATAACGTACTTCTTAACGTAAAGTTACGAAATTCAAAATAATGACGAAAATAATAGAATTACGTCCTGACAGATCTCTTTTAAATCCACGTTTTGAAAAATATCAATTTTCTCCAGATATTGTTCCTGTAAAATCTGAAATAAGTTTAGAAAATGGTACGTACATATTTAACCTATATTTTTATTAACAATTTGCTAGGTTAATAATACACGAATTAAATATTTCAGATGTATATAGGCTAGAATTAAATCCCGATCAAGAATCTTGGTTGGAAGTGAGATTATTTGCACTTCATAATCATTTATTTACAAATCCTTATGATACATCATGTTGGTTTATTGATAAAGAACACATAATTTGGCGAGTAAATAAAATTGGAACACTTCAAAAAATATATAAATTACGTACTCCTAATCAATCATCAAAATTATTGTACAATCCATCGATCGGATTTACTAGCAATAATATTGTAGTCATTTCTAATGGAGGTGACAGTCTCTATTTATTAAAGGAAGATCATTCTGGTCAGGTTGAAGCGTTTCTATTAGAAGAAGCAGAACCTGGAGTTATTTTAGATATCCGATATGTGCAAACTAAATCTCAAATTATTATTGCGTTATCATCTATAGTTGATGATAATGGGAAAAAGTGTACAAAACTTGTATTATTATTTTATACTTTGCAACAATATGATGAAAAGCAAAATACTTTTCATTTGTCTAATAAACAAGTATTAAAAGTACGAGGTACCGTAGAATATGTATTTATCGAAGAAAATGGTGACCATTTACATTCCATTTGTCAAAATAATATTATTTTTGAATCTGACAATAAGAAAATAACAGAAAATAGTAAAAAAAATATAAGTGATAAAGAACATATAAAAATTCCTAAATATTGCTGGTCTCAAGACGAAGATTCGCTTACAGTTTGGGTTAAAATACCGGAGAAATATTATCAAAGTCAAGCAAAAGTTAATGTAAAATCTAATGAAATATCAATTACTGTAAATGATGATATTTTGATACAAGGCGAATGTCAACACAGATTAGATGAGAAGCTTACTACTTGGAAACATGAAAAAGACACATTACAATTGGATTTAATAAAGTTTGAAAATGGTTTAATGTGGAATGAGTTAATTAAAGGTGATACAGGAGGAGAATGTTTACCAAATGAATCACTAGCAGCTGAAATTCATTCTAGGTATTTCATTTTATATCATTTTATACGAGAGTATTATATATTTACATATTTAATATTGTTTTTAGATTAGCACATCTATGTTCTGAAAATCCAAATGCACCTGGTGGAGAGGGTCAACCGTTTTTAGGATTTAATTCTGAACAATTGGAAGAATGCGATATAGAAGGAAAAGAAAACATCTTTCAAAGAATAAATCTTACATCACAGGAAATAACACATCAGGCTAATCTTGGTACAAATAATCATGTACTATTTACAAATAAAATGAAATTCGGACAGACAATATGTCTTAGACACGATCATGATGGTTGTCTTTGGATTACTGATATTGTAAAAGACAATGTATGGAATATAAAACATACTACAACATTTCCAGGTTTTGGATATGTTGAAGCAAGTAAAAGTAATAAAAAATTCTGTATATGTTCTCCAGGTAAGATTTATATTTATATACTTAGATTGTTGAATTTTCTTTTTCTTTCAATGCTTCCCTTTCTTTCAAATTTTCTAGATGGTTCATACGTTGCCATAATAGAACACAAAAGACACGTTTTTCTTTATGAAAGGCCAGAAAATAATTCTCAAATAAGTAAACAATGGATTGTAGATTTGGAATATGATTCTCCATCTTCTATTATAATGGGAGCAGTTGCGACTAACAAATACTTAATAATTCTTACTAAAAACAAATTATACCATTTACAAATTTATCCATAAAATTTTATACTTTTTATTATCTTCTGTACATATTGATATTTTATGTATATATGAATTATGTATAGTTGCGTGCACAATGTACACGTGCGTATATACACACACGCACACCCACAAACACACAAAGAGAGACACGCATCACAGCAAATAATAAAAAATGATATACATTATTATTTACAATGGAGGAAAACAAAATCATACAAAAGAAATGCTATAGAATATTACTTGGATGCATGATTGTAATAAGGTATTTTATTTCGATTTATGAACAAAAATTAATTGATTTTTTCATATAAAAGTTTTCTCTTCTGTATCGAAAATATACAAGTCAATATAACTTAATATATTTAGTCAGAGTCTATTATAGACTATTATATGAGTCGTTTACAGGCCAAAACAATTAAATTTGAGAAATTTAAAAAATTGTACTGTCAAAGTACTTGATTGATGTTTGACTTTTTATATTTAACCCTTCAACTGCTGAAAATATATACGTTTTCGCATGTCTATTTATATATACAAAAAATGATACATATGCTCTCTAGATTTTTTCTTTACATTTAATTACGTTTGTGTTTCCTTTTCAAACATATTTTGCACTCATAAATATGTTTTTTGGTCAATGAGCATAACAATCTAAGACAGCCAGTTACAGTGATTAACATGCGAATATTGAGCTGTAATATTGATGGTTCTGTGTTAAAATACGCTGCAATCAAAGGGTTAAAAAAAATAAAAATAAATTCCTGTGTTAATTAGGCTTAACACCCACCGTTAGATAACAGCAATAGTCAGAAGTGACTATTCAATAATAAATAATACAACAATGTATATTACTTTGTTAAATTTCTCTACTTTTTGTTTCATGAAATTAATTGATTTAGCAAATAAGCGATTCATATATATTATACAACTTAAATCTAATAATCAAACAGAACATAATATTATCTATTTGAGTACGGACGAGTCAATCACGCTTTTCTGCTGTCATTAAAAAAATCTAAAGAGCACAATTAAAGTTAGATTTGTTCTATCAACTGTTATTTATAAAGCCAAATTCTATTTGGTCAGATACAGATTGTGAAATGAACAATAATATTAATTATTCACTATAAAAAATGCTCTAGAAGAAAAAAGAAAAAGCTTTCCTTGCTAACTATGTGAAAAGCTGTAAGAAACGAGTCCGTACTCAAATGATTAATTTTAACTAGCTGCTTAAATAAACTATAAACAAAAATTGAGTATCATTATTATAAATGAACCAATTGATCACAGGCCAAAGTGATAAACTCGACTTTTAGAATCAAATAATTTTTGTTATCAAAGTACTTGATCAACATTTAATTTTTTATATTTAAACTAAATATGCCTAATAACTAATTCTCATGCTACTAAATTAGAACAATTTTTATGGCCGTTCAATAATAAATGATACGACGATGTTCATTATTTGTGTTCAATTTTGTCTACTTTTTACTTTGTAAACTTAATCGATTTGGCAAATGATTGGCTCAAATAATGAACAACCTTTTATATATATATATATATACATATATATAAAATTATATTATAATTATTTACTATCTATTAATTCTGGACATTTCTCTCTAATAGAGTGAATAACTGTATCCATTGAAAGTACTTCATCATGGGGCCAATACCATATCATACTATTACAAAACGTTTCATCAAATTTAGCTTCTGCTGCTGGTGGCCTTCTTCTATCGAAATGTGATTCGTTAGTTTTTTGATTATGAATATATGTTTCATGTTGACTTTTGCTGTAATATCGGAACCAAGGTCGACTAGTACTTCTTAAAAAGATGATGCTGTTTGGTACGAAATATAATGTTTCTTCATCATCCAAAGGTGTTTTTGGTATATCGCACGTTAATTCTGGTTTGTTATTTTTCATATAACGTTGAATAAGTTTCAATTTCTTGTTAATATCAGGACTAAATGCATATAGTTCCTTTGCGCGTACTCTTGCGAAATCATTAGGAAATGGTTTCCATAAAGCTTCGCAAAATTTTTTTATAAGTTCATGCCTGTAAAAAACATTAAATAATTAGAAAATATAAAATGATAGGCGTGTATTGTAAATTTTATATAAAATGAATAATGGACTAAAACTAGACTAATGTAAACAAATTTACGAATGTACATACCTGTCTGGTAAATATTTTTGACTTATATCTTCTCCGCCGAGTATCCAAGCATCCAAGATATGTAGTGCATAAATTTTGCGTTGACTTTTTCTTTCTTTTGCAATTTCACTTATTATTTCTGCATAGACAAGAGTGTCAGGAGGTAATTCTATTTTAAGGTCATTAATTTGCTCCCAGCTATTATTCATATAACGATATACTTTTCTTCTTCCCATACCCATATAAAATGTAGTTAATTTATTGAATTCTCCAGTACCACAAGGTGTACATAGCCAGTCATATGGTGTATGCAATACAGTTTGCCGAATATTTACATATGTTAATTTTTCTTGCTGATGTGAAAGCACATTATCACGATTTTTTATAAGATTTTTGATATTTTCTTGTGGTTTACAAGAAGTTGGTACAGTGCGACTTTCATCTGGTAGTTCCCAATATTTTAAGCATTCTCGTCGCATATCTGCTTGCCTTGGTTCTATGAGTGTACTATCTTCACAAAAAGCAGCGATTTTAAGAAGACCTATAATTTGTTTACTTCCAAGATTATTATTAGATTTTCTCAAATATTGTACAAATTCTTTTTCTATTTCTAATTCTTTTAATGGAACTAGTTCTGTAACATCCTTATTTACGTCTCCTTTTAATAATATTTTGTTTGCATAAAATAAATATTTTACAATATCATTTGTATCGTGTCGTTTTCCTTTGCATATCAAGTATCTTTCTGAATTAGCAGGCCTTGAAGTATTCGGTTTGAAAATACACACTTCATCAAAACAACGATATATCAAATATATTAATCCTACACTAAAAGGCGTAAAGAGATCAAATAGTTTTGTTACAAAATTTCCTCCATTTCTTACTATCATTAAAGCTACTAAGCATTGACACAAGTATATTTGTTTAGACATAATTTCTTGAATATTTTCTTGATTTTCCACTGAAAATCCACCATCTGACATCATAAAATGTACACCCTTGCCATGAGTATGTTTCATAATTAAATCTCTAAAAGCCTCTTGGTTACTTATATCACATACATCCCCATTACCCTTTGGACCATAGAAGGTATGAAAAGTTTCTGGTGATCCAGCATAGAAATCACCTAGTTTGAAATCATTCTCATTTTTTAAAGTAAAACCAAATCCTTTAGCATGCCACTTTTTTCTCCACAAGACATATTCACTAAATCCACCAGGACCAGCACATACATCTGCGAAATATAGAAGCTCGTTGTTTTTTAAATTATTTGGTTTGGTGAATAGAAAATCACAAGCTTTGTCAATGTTTGCCATTTTAACAGCAGCGCGATTTAAGAAGAATGCATTTCGAATTGTTTCATATGGATTACAACGCGTTCTTGCTTTACGCATTTCTATTTTATTAATGTTATTAAATATTGTCTTTGAATTGATGATATCTTTCACTATTTTTGCCTCACAAAATTTAGTTTCATCTTCTATTGTTTCTTTTTTTGGCCCTAATACCATCCAATCATGCATTTCTTTAAAAGTTGGTATATGACGATGTGTATTTTTTATCCATTCCATTTCTTCTTTAATTTGTACAATTTCTTCATCAGGATTCCACTTTAATCTTGCAGCTTCGAGTTCAGGATAAGAAAGTCCAATTCCTCTTCGTCCATGTTGCTTTGACGATTGTACTGGCTCTAATCGACCTTGATTATTTTTTCCAAGACCTTTACCAGCCTGATATCCCATTTTTTCCATCATTCGTTCCACTTTTCCTTTTCCATTTGTAGCACTATCAGTTGTGATTGATGTATTTCCTACTTTACCCAAGCATAATTTCTTAGCAGAATTTTCATCGTTATTTTTACTCCTTTTTAATGATTTATCACTTTCAAATGATTCATTGTACTTTATTTTGTTACTGTTGGATATATTGAATGTAGGTGCATCATCACTAAAACTTTCTGCCATCTCATATGAACTTTCAAACTGTTCTTTATTGAAATCCTCATAAAGAATTTGTCTATTCTTTTCAGTAGTTTTATCGATATCATATATATTGTCTTTAATGAAACTACTATTTCTGTCACCATCATTGTCGTCATGATCATCATATGAATTACTACGTCTTTTTTGATCATCATTATCAGTATCATCACTCGACAAACGATGTTGCTTAATCCCTTTTGAAATATTTGAAGCAGATGCTTCAATATTAAAAGGGGAAGTTTCATGTATTCTATCAATTTGTGCATCTTTGTTAAAGTCATAAAAAGAATCATGAGATGTATGTTTCACCTCAAAATCAGAATCATTATTCATTTCATTAAAGTTTTGAGGATAGTCGTCGTTATCATAGTTATTAGCATTCGATGTCGAAGCTTCTTTTTCTTTGTTGACATTAGACATTATATCGGTTACTTTTTTGCTTCGTTTCTTTTTCTTTGCTATACTTTCAGAAGCTGAAGTACGATATTTCTTTTTCGTTTTTGCTTTAAAATTATTACTCTGTTTGTCATGATATTTGGTAACTTCATTATCATTATAATCGCCATCGTTCCCATCTAAAGTAAAAAAGATAAATTATTATAAATAAAATTATATAATAATGTAATGGAAGAAAATAAAGTTACGTTGGTAAAAATATAAAATTAAGATAATATTTCTTGTGGTCTATTTTAATTCACAAAATTAAAAATTAAAAAAATATCAACTAACCAAAAAAAGTTTGTTCTGTTTTAAAGAATAAAAATAAATGATAAAACAACTTAGAAATATCAAGAACTTCCTTGATTAATTTAATATTACATATTTATTAACCGTTTGAGTCCCAAGCAGTGCGATCGCGCTGTTTGCGAAAAAGTCGACAGTGTTTTTTTTAATACCCCCTGAGACTCAAACGGTTAAAAGGTTAATATCAAAAAAAAAAGATTAAAAGAAAAAAAAATATTAAAAACAATTATTGTACATACCGTAATCACTTTCTGACAAGAAAAGGTCACTATTGAAATTATTCATTTTCTCCATGATCTTAAATCTTAATAGTAATTATTAAGAAGAATTTTTGATTGTATTCCGTTGTAACGTCATTGATTTAATATAAGTTATTTACTTTACTTTACACTTTACACTTTACACTTTACACTTATTTGTTTTATATTGTTCGAGATTACTCGGTATGAGTCATAAATATAAGAACAACCCTCGATGTATTGTCCACCAAAGCACTATTCACTTTGACAAATCGCAACAGGCAATTTTACCATTATTATTAATTAAAAATAATGAAAATGTCTGATTTATATTACTAAAGCTTACACAAAGAATTATTTATGTTATTTTCGTTCAACTTGTAAGTTTAGTACACGAGAAATAACTATTAACGTCGAATATAGTATTCACTTGTTCATTCTTCCGCGTCTGAAAACGTAGTAACGTGCCAGATGTATTTCGTAACATACACTTGTCTGTAGAAAATAGCCACACGCACTTGGCGCTTCTCATGATCACATAAAAGCGTTTCACATTAGCAGCCAATGAGAACGCTCCACACTCAACATCTGCAGTAACTAGTGAAAACGTTCCATGCGCCATATAACGGGTAGAAAATGGAAGCGTTTCCTGCTATCATGATTCTTCACGAGTAACTCAATAGTAAAATTAATGTTACTTTAGGGTTAAACCACATATGTAATAAAAAACACTTTGAGAAAAAAGATATATCGTAAAGTATTAGGTAACTTAAACGTTTTACTTAACTTTCTTTTACTTATGCTTTCTAATGCTCAACCCATGCTTAACTGATACTCGAATAGTCGTAAGTCGATTATGGTACATAACGGTAACAGTAGGTGGCATTTGACAATCGTCGCGTCATCTACTAGTAACTAATTCTCCCTATTTTTCTTATTGTAAATAGTAGAAATTTTATAAAAAAAAAAGATTTTAAACAAAAGTTATATATTTTTGTTTTTCTTAAAATATAATAACAATATGAAAATGATATGTTTCTATCAGAAAAAATAAAGTTAATATTAATATGATATTGAGAACGTCCATCCAATCAGAATTGGATTAGGGAATTGTTAAACCGTTAGGATATTTTTAAGACTTTTTTGTAAGATTCCAAAAAAGGAATGTGGCTACTAAGGTCATTGATATAACTTGAATACGATTTCTTCTTTGCCGTATCTCAGGATATATCTTTTTTCAGAAATATTATTTTGTTTATATGATCGAAATTATAAATTTATATACACATATAAATAATCGAATACATATTTCAAAATACCAACATAATACGTATGAACATCAACTCAAAGATAACAGATATTATAATAAAATTGTCTGCATCTAAAACGGTTAGAAGAATTAACGCGTAATTCTGGATGATAATTATTACTGATTTATTATAATCAGTGATTTATGTTTAACTAAATTTATTCATTATAGAAATACTTGTAATGAGAAAAGCATAGATATATTTTTATAAAAATCATGTCTAAAAAATAAATTTTCACGCTATTAAAAGCGTGTTGAAAATTGGAGAAAATAATCTCATGTAAAAAATCTATTATTTTTCTAATGAATTTTTGATCATCAAAATCAAATAGAAATTGTGATCATGAGAATTTATAATGTAAATCTCTGCAAACGTATAGGAACAGAATTTTCTTAAAATTAGAAAAATGTACTATGTGCAGTTTGAATGCTTTCGAGATGTACAAGTAATAACTTTCTCATGTTATATGATTTTGAAATTCGATAATCGTTAATTAAAAATATTTTTAAAAGCATAACAGATGATTCATTAAATATTATTTAAAAAAATCCAAATCCATGGTGGGTTATATAAATTAATTCTTATTCAAAGAATTTTGTTTCTTTTCTTACCTTACTCCTATCTGACTTCGCTTGGACAGAGTTAAAATTTGAAGAATGAAGAAGAAACTATAGAATAAAAATTATTAAAACTATTGCTGTAACAAGATAATGTTTAAATGTTTTTTTTTTTTTTATCTTTTTTTAGCTATTTGTGCGAGACCAGCTCTCAATATCTATTTGAATAGGTTTGCTGTTTATAGGTAAAAGTAAATAATAACTCACTGTATCATACTTATGACTAATGAATCTCTGGACAATACAGATATATGATCATAGGCAAATATTATTAATATTTTAAGAGGAGAAATAAGAATGGGACATCTGGATCACTCCTCTAAGTCCAGGTCCCCTAATTCTTCTTCTAAATCTTCTAAGTCTTCTTCCATAAATAGATTTTCATTTATTGCTAAGGCAGTTGCACCTTCTCCAACAGTCACTATTTAAAACAAAAATGACAGATTATTAAAACAGCATTATCATTTTTATAAATTGTACATTTAAAGAGTACATTACCAGTACTATCTTGATTGATTTCGTCAGTGCCATTAGCTTTGAGGCGATCTGTAGATGCAACTGTTATACCCGTAGTATCAGTCTCACTAGCTTCAAAGGCAAGTCGTTCCATGTCAAGTTCTCTATATTCAATTCTTTCTTCTTCTTCATCTTCTTCTCGTACATAACTGGATATTGCTTCATCACCATCATCGATACCTGATGCAAATAAATATATAAATATATAATAATTCGAATCAATTTAAGGTTGAAGAGATATAATATAAAGTACCGTCTCCAGCAGCAAGTTCTGGATTGAAGTAGAACATTTCACGACCCGAAATACCAACTTGACGGCCTGCTTTATAATCATTTCTTCTCTTTTCTTCGTCCTTGATGGCTTGTTCTTTCTTTTCTTGTAACTTTCTCTTTTTCCAAGCCAAAAAGGTTTCTAAAGTTATCTTTGTCTGTAAAATTACGCAAAATTTAACATTTTCCCATTCCAAGAAATATTTGTTCAAATTTTAATTAAGTATTCATATTTATAATAGTTTAGTAAATTAAACAAAATTTGAATAAGAATAAATGCATACTTGATTAGGTCCTAAATTAGCTCTCTCTCTTTCAATTAGATCTTCTAATGAAATTTCATCCTTTTTGTCTTCCTTCTTTTTATCTTTTTTAAGAACAAAGCCAGGTGGTAAGGCATGTCTATATATACATTTTTGACCAGTTGGACATTCCCAAAACCATCCATACTTCGATTTCTCTACTGCTTCTAAGAAATGTTTGCATATCTAAAATTCAAATTACTCAATAATATATTTTTCATATTTTACGTTATATTAATATTAAAAAGAAATAATAATAAAGTCTGTTAACATGCATACAATATCTGTAGTGGGTCGGTGACCACCTCCTCCATGTTTCTTTTCTACAACCTCCTTTAATTTGTCTTCATCCCATTTATCCATGGTATCTGTTTCTTTATCATCGTCATCTCTCATATCACAATATAAAGATCTTTTTTCAGCTTTGCGTTCCACGCTTAAATCATGAGAAAATTTACACTTATCTCCTTTTGTGCATTGTCCTTGTTTAAAAAATGCGCATACTACAGACTTTGGATCCGTACCTATGCATCCCAACGATAAATATTAATATTAACGAATGTTCCAAAAATTTTAGTTAAATAAATTAATAAATCTTATTAGAAATTACCTTTTTCTATTTTTTGTGCTTGTACTGGTTTGAAAATTAATGCTAATTCCTTTTGTTCTTTCAATTTTTTTTCTTTTTCTAATTTTTTTGCATTAGGATCTTCTATCTTTCGTGGATTAATACCACCAGATTTAACTTGTTTTTCTACCTGTTGTATAAATTTTTGTTGCTTTGCACCTTTTTTATTTTTTATACCAAAGGTTTTATCCTATGAATAAAATATAAGAAAATATATGTCAGTAAATGATAATAATATGCAAAAAAACATTATTATAACAAATTATTCCTAGTTTGTTTTACACGTGTACATAAAAGATTTTTAAACAGAAATATAAAACATTTACATACTTCAATTACTTTTTCCTTCTTCTTTTGCTCTGCTTTTTTACTCGGAGCAGGTGCTTTTTTAGGTGGCATTGTGTTGAATTTGTGAATTTACAAAACCACTTGGGATTTAAAAATGTATCAAATATTGTTCATAGACTGTTGGCTTCTCTAACCTTTAATCCATCCTCTAGACCACCGGGAACGACTAATTTACTGATGTAAGATTTAATAGAATGCATGTATGTAGTTCGATCAAGCTTATAAATATTATAAAGCAAAATACCCTATTTTATCGTCTGACATTTAGAAACTTTTGATAATTCTGCCATTTTAAGGTTTGGGTAAGTTTTCAATTTATATACATTTATACATTTTAAATAAATATGTAATTATACACATTTGTCTTTAATCAAGGAAAATCTATTATATACACACACACAAAATATATTCATATAATTTTATTATAAACGTTATGAAAACAGATTATCATAGTTTGTTATATCAGAATTCGAATTATTAACTGTAAAATTGAAGCTGGCCGACTATCGAAATCGTCGATATTATCGAAAGAGATCATTATCGATCGCTAACCTAAGTAACTTGTGAAACACGTTGCTCCTGATTTATAGTGTGGTTAAAATCAAAGTTTATAATATTTATCCGAAATTACAATGGCAAAATACGATTTAACATCTCGCATAGGGCAATATCTAGATCGTCATTTGGTTTTTCCACTTCTTGAGTTCTTATCTGCCAAACAAGTAAGTAATCAATTTTGTCTTCTTAATTCGCAACTGTTTTTGCAATTAATTGTATGATGTGTTCTTATTATTATATATAGATTTATGATGAAGATGAATTACTTCAAGCAAAATTGGATATTCTTAGTAAAACCAATATGATAGATTATACTATTGATATTCGTAAACAATTGTATCCTAATTTGGATGTTCCAGAGGTATGTGATAATTAGATTTAAATATGGTTTTATAAAAGATTTCTACTATATTTCTGATCATAATATAATAATATAATAAATATTTGCAACATTTATTATTGTAGGAATTAAAAGCTAGACGTGCAGGTGTTCTACAAGAACTTAGCGTATTACAAAACAATGTTTCTGTTGTTGTAGCGCTAATGAATAATGAAGAAGTTATGAAGAAAATGGAAAACATGAGAGATTCGAAGGCTTTGAGTAATTACCTTACTCAAGAATCTGATGTAATTATCTTTAATTTACAAAATATAATTATTTTTTTAATTAATTTAAATTGTGTTTTATAGTTTAGGGTAGAAATGATGGACAACTTCGTCAAACTTGCACATTACCGTTATGAATGTGGTAATTATTCTGTTTCCACTTCATATCTTTATTTTTATATGCTAATAATGCCACCAACTGACAAGGTATTTACATATTATTACTTTAAGTTATACAAACTTTGATATACCCTGCAAAGAGGTCTAATTTAATTTAATGTAATTTTTTTTAAGAATTATTTGAATGTATTATGGGGCAAGTTAGCTTCTGAGATTCTGGTACAGAATTGGGAAACTGCACTTGAAGATGTAAATAAATTAAGAGAATATATTGATAGCAATATCATTGGGAATTCTGTACAAGTGTTACAGTTACGTACATGGCTTATTCATTGGAGTTTGTTTGTCTTTTTTAATCATGTTAAGGGAAGAGATTTGATTATTGAAATGTTTCTTTATCGACCTCAGTATGTATCACATAAACTATTTTCCTTTTTCATATTTATATATAATATTACTTTATTATATATTAATTTTCTTTACAGTTATTTAAATGCAATTCAAACAATGTGCCCACATATATTACGTTACTTAGCCGCAGCAGTGATTGTTAATCG